CATGTCAAGTGGTGTCTTGCTCTCCTGGGATCTACATTCAACAGCAAAGAAAGCAAGTCCTGGAACATGTTTCCGTCTTCTTTACCCAGCTACTGATCCATAAAAGGAGATCCAAGACGGCCAAGTTTGTTCAAGATCCTTTGCTAAGGGACTTGGTCAAACCCCTTTGAAAGCCAACAGTATCTAGCAGATCACCTCAGGCCCAAAGAATTCTAAAGTGTGAGAGAGAGACAATCCACCCTCATCAGCAGGGCTCGTCCCTCTATATGCTGACTGATTCTACCTTTAAAAACCATGTCGAGTTAACCAGTCCTGCTGGGTCCCCTTTTTAAAAATGGGTGTCGGACGGCTACCCTCCAAGGACTAATCTTAGGGACTCGCTACACAGTCTTGCTGGAAGATGGGAAACTTCACAGATGAGTTTTCAAGAACTCTAAGATGGCTACAACTCTGGGCCATGGGATTTATTCATTTTCAATTTGACAATATGTTGAGAACTTCATTCTTTTGCCATGACTACTCCCCTCGCGGAGTATCCAATTTGGGAAGGGATATGGTTTGCAACAGACCAGTACTCTGCTCGTCTGTGTGTGCTTTAAAATAATTGACGAACGGTGCTCTCAACGTTGGAAGGAGTCTACTTCTGAACTCTACTTTAGGAGCTGCTTTTAAGCCCGAAAACCTGCACCTTCAGTGAAACGCTTCTTCTGTTGGTGAGCGGCTCTTTTCCTAGCTAGGCCTGCCGATTACGGATTTTTGAGGCTTTCTCCCGACGTTTCTTTTGAAACAGATTTTGGAATGTTTCACCAGACCACCAAAGAATCCTGAACTCCAGCCTGGACGGGTAGATATTCCTTTCTCTTTTATCTGGGAATTCGGCAGGCACTTGTTTGCTGAACAGAAAAGTATATTGGACCAAGGGAGCCAAGGTTCAATTTGGATGCCAGGAAGCACTTCCTGACAGTCAAGACTCCCAGGGTGTGGAATGGGCTTCCACGGGAGGCGGTTGAGGCCCCATCGGTACGGGTGTTCAAGGACAGGCTGGACGTGCACATGGTGGGCGTGTCGTGAGCGGAGCCGGCTGGAGCTGGGGGTCAGACTAGATGGCCCACGAGACCCCTTCTGACTCGCTCTCTTTCTCTGCTTCTAGGTTAGGACCTGACCCTTTTTCCTCCTCCTTGCCACTTCCCATCTATTACACCCTGACTGGTTCATGCCGTCAGCTTGTCTAGGCCCCGTTTCACTGCCTTCATTGCACTGCAGTCATGCCGGAGAGCCAGGACCTTGGTCACGTTTACGCAATGCGCTGCTTGGGTGATGCCACCGACTATCTAGCACATTTCAACACTCCGCCTGGAATTTCAAATCAAACATGGAATCGGGCTAATGGTCATTCGCCAAATGCCTGCTGGGGCGGAATAAAGTGGCAAGAGCAGAGTCAGGACGGCTCAGGCCTTGCATGTCAGAAGCCCTCGCGTGCTGCAGCCCAAAACCTCAGCGGGAAGGACGGGCTGGGGGAGCCAGGCATCCGCGCTCTGCCCCTCAGCAGCTGAGCCAGGGCACGCGTTCACTGATTTAGATCCTGCCCTGCTTCCTGGAGACACGCCACGTGAAGGTGGCTGGAGAGCAAGCGGAGGGCAAGAACCGTGAGCAGGGTCCGGAGGGACAGGCCCAGGGAAAAAACCGAGGCAGAATTCTGACAGGGAAGGGGGAGACGTCATAGATTTTTCCACAGTGCTTTAAGAACCTGAGTAAATAACCCGAAAATCGTAACGACATGACAAGGGGTTTGCCGTGTTTGAATCAGTGTAAATTCTGCCAGCTGGGGCGGGAGGGGAGCGGCCCGACTGCTGGGAAGGGCCCACTGAGGGCGTGAGGTGGATGGCGTGCGGCCTGAGCCTCGGCCAAGACCAGCGCCACTGAAGGCCACGAGGCCCCCATCCCAGTGAATGAGGCCGCCCGCGTGGCTGCACATGGGCGCATGCGGGAGTCCAAACCAGCCACAAGACCAGGGAAGACCAAGGCGACGGCGGGATCTGCGGCAAGACGGACGAGCGGCGGCTGAGGCCCTGCCCCTGGTCCTGATTCCTCCCCGTTCTCTTGCCCGCATTGGTTGGCTCATCACAACCTCACCAGCATCCAGATCATTTTCTTGCCAAAAATCCACCCTGCAGAGCTGTTACTTCGGGCCACACAGGATGCTTCCACAATGGCGCAAATGCCTTGCACTGGAAAGGTCCTGAATTCAATCACCGGCACCCCCGATTGAGCCCCGATTCCCGCAGTCTTCTCTCAAAGCAGTCTCTCCAGATGGACCAGCAGCAACAACAACACAAACACACAAACCAGCCCTTATTGCCTACGGGTCTTTCCAGTCCTGATCACTGAAAAGAACCCTAAATAATACAATGTGCAAAAAACCAGGAACAAAACCAAGTTTAGAAGGAAGCCCTTTTCTAAATAGGAGCACGGCAGTGGGTCCCGATACGATTCCTCACGTGCGGATTCAAGAAGCGCAGATTTCTCTAGCGCCACCATCCAAATCAGAGGCAAGACTGAACGAGGTCCCATCTGTGATCTAAGAAAAGTGCAAGATGCTTATGGACAGGACGTACTTGGGAGGATACGAGACGTCACTTTTCGCTCACTCTTGGAAGCTCACACCATAAAGCTGCCATTATTGCCTCAAAGAAAACTTTCATACCCAAGACAACATTGGGGGGAACCGGACCTTGGAAATGGCCAACGGCTCGGCGGGGTTTCAATTCTACAACAGTGGCCAATCTCATGGTGATTTCGTAAAGCCAGGACAATCACGCCGCCAGAAATTACGCCATCCGGGCAGATTGGGAGTGCCCGGCTGCTCGACCGACCAAGAAGATCCGAATGCTGCAGCTCTTTCCTGCAGGGCAGAGACACTCTCCCGTTGCTTCCCAAAGCCTCATCCATTTCCCTGCTGGCTGCAATGAGCTGGGTGGCCCGGGGCAATTGAAAGGCCTGAGCACCATGCGCATCTCATCTTTTGCTGATCAAGGAGGTCGAAACAGTCTCCACCTCGCTGTGGGCTCTGCCCACAGACCCTCCTTCTGCATCTGCCATAGCCATAGCATGCCACAAGGCTGGGGAACATGGGCACTTGTGCCTGTGCGGAGGCTTCCTGGGGCCAACCTGTTTGTCCATGGGTGGCCCAGATGCCTGGATCCAGTGGCGCTCATTTGATGTTCTTAACCTTTCTCTTCCATCGGCCAACTAATTCTCCAAGTCTGACTGGATTCTCCTTGCCGCTCGCTGCTGAAGGGACCTGGTGGCCTGAGAGTGCCATGGCCAACTGGTCCAACTGGGAAACGACTTAGTCTAGATCAAAGGCTTGGCTGGCTGCAAACGATGAGGCTGAGGAAGGCACCAGATCGAGGAAGACGGGGCTGGATGGATGGGCGCACGGAGGCACGTTCCCCCACGATCACTGCGCCATCTTACTCTGGTGTGCTCTCCAGTAGGGCGGGAGACAACCAGATGGGGGGGGGGGGCTGAGAATTCTGCCTCCCCTCCCTGCAGGCACGGTGGACGTCTCCTTCCTCTCCAGGGGAGGCACGTGCTCCAGCGTGCCCGAGGGTGCACATGAGGAGGGAAAGGTGTGGTCCGCTCCCCAAGCCATGCTTCATCCCTGACTGGTTCCTCATCGCTGCATCTTCTTTGGCTGGGGGCGAGGATGACCAGCCGCATCCCTGGATTTTCAACAGCTACCTTCTTCCAAGGGAGTTCCTTCTCTCGGCATCAGGAGATGGAGCAAGGGCCAGAGCGGAGCTGAGAGCTTCACCCTGCTGGACCCACACTGCTTTTGGCTCTACATTCCGACGGAAGAACCAAGCTTTCTGGAAGGGCTAGCTCGCGTTCTGGGTTGTGCCTGCAGAAACTGTGCCAGAGCAGGTGAGGAAGTTCCCTCTGAAATCCAACAGGACTCTCGTGCGCCATTATGTGCTTGACTGTACAATTCTGTGCATCTTTACTCAGGTGTAAGCCCCTTCCTAATAAATAGGCTTCCTCGGCTTCCTAAGACTGCAGCCTAAGAAAGCACTCATTTCAGATTTCTCTGGGAGATGCCTGGCGTGTTAATGCAAAACTGTTTCAAACCCACCAGAGCCGCATCCGCCCAGCTCCAGTTTTAGCCCCGGGACTGGTCTCCTGCAATGCCACACGGCACTATTGCTTTGGGGTTAGTGGTAAAACCCTTTGACAATTTCATGTGCCTAAATGGGAGCGCTTCCGAGTTGGCTCTGATGACACGGGGGCAATCGAGAAGAGCAACGCATCTCGCCCGAACCACAAACTCACACAAAACAACGGCTGCAAATTGGACAAGACTAAATCAGGGCCAGTTCTCAGAGAGGAAGGGATGATCGGCACGAGCCGTTATGTGTGTCCGAGTCAACTGCCTGCATGGCGGTCGGTGGGAGTTTTCCCCCTTCGCTGAGCTTGGCTTGCCAGAACATTACTGGAAATGCTTTAATGAAGTAAAAGCCCAGTGGCCAGATGGAACAGAACTGTAGTGGCAGGCTCAACTGAGAGAGGACACAAATTATTAAAATATCCTCACATGTGTAGACGTTTCTCAGCTCAAGATCTGAGTGCCGTGCAGACAGGAGAGTAAACTTCCAGAGCAGCAGCTACGCTCTTCCAGTCCCCAGCAGTACAAGATGTCCGCCTGCTCATGAGCGATCATGCTGAGAGATCGCAGCCAGCCGAGCTCAGCTCACTTGTCCCCGAGTCCACGTGAGCAGAACATGGGACAGCCATGTGCTTCTGTTCCAGTCCCCAACAGTGGAAAAGAAAATGAGGTACGTGCAGATAGTGAAGAAGAGAAAGATGGGAGGAAGACAAGCCAAGAGGCCGACCAAGTAACGGAGGTGGGGAACCGGAATCAGGCAAACGGCGAAGATGGTGAAGGGTTGGGGCTGCCCATCTTTATGTACCCCAGAAGGGATGCTTCATTAGGTCCACACAAGACACACACACCCCACCACTGGTGGGGCCATCCAGTTGCACGGCGCCATCTTGCGTGAGTCCAGTTCCCTCTCTAGACTGCATCCCACCTGGACATTTATGAGAGCCGGGCTGCGGCTCAGGGAGGTTCAGCTTTACTCAGCCCAAAGGGCCAACATCATCTCTGCGGAAGTACTCGGGGCCACATTCTGGTGGTGGGAAGCAAAGGAGGTGGAGCCAAAATACTGGCACATTTTTGCCCGGAAGTTCTAACTGCCGGCAGCTAATCCTAAGAAGCAGCAGCATCGGACCCTTTCCGAAAACCATCAAGTAATTATTGGTTGGCCACGGGGCTGCCGGGGGATCCTGAAATGACTGGACCACCATGGAGTAGCTTTCCCAGAATGCTACTCTCTCTTCCGCCCCTCCCAGAACACACAAGATGCATGCAGGGAGCCTGAGGAACTGCCTTTCCATCAGTCTCTTGGCTGGCATTCAAGAACGGGCAAACTGATTCAGAGACGGCCCTCCCAGTTCATGCATCCCTCCTGCACCCTCTGACCCCTTCCAACAGGGCAGAGATTCCGTGCCATTGCCCTTCTGCTACACGAGGATTGGGTTCAGACAACCGGATAACCCACAGTCAAAGGTTGAGGAAGGGCTGAATGCGGGTTGCCACTGAACTGCAGCACGTTGTTGAAACATGGGTTACCGTGTTGTTTGAACCCAGCTGTGCTACCAACCCATGTCCTGTTAACCACAAAACAAAATAGGGAGAGAAATCCATGGTTTGCTGTGCGGTTGTGAAGTTGGAATTGTTCACCACAGTTTGTTATCTTGGCTGGGTTCAGACAACACAATAATGCACATTTTAACACAGCCAACTTATGTTCAACCCTGGGTTCTTGTGTTGTCGGAACCCAGTCACAACCTCAGAGGAGCGGAGGGGCGGCATAAATGAAAGAACCAGGCTGAAATCTATTGAGGCCTCCCTATTCTGGCCACGTCGGCCAAGGTATGAGTTTATGAAAAGTAATGCACACGCAACATTCAGAGATGCCAAATGACAGGCGCACAATTCACTGGGAACACACGGCGTACAAGTTTCATTGATGCGCTCATCCGGACTCTTGTTCACATCTGAAGCAGGCCTCAAGCGGAGCTTGGCTGGAAAGCCCATTCAGTTCTATGGAGTCCGGGGCCGTTTCATCAGTGATGTTCCCAATGGATTCTGCCCAAAGCATATTATGGGGTGACTCTTCAACGTAAGTCTATTGCGCTGAATTCTTGACTTCTCCAATAATTTTTCAAAAGGAAATTATCAAATATAAATATAAATATTTATTTATTTGTTTAAGAAAAAAGTAACCAAAGTGCTACATAATGATCAAGATATATGAAAAAACCAGTTCATTGTTGCTATTTAAGAAATAGATTCACTTCAAAGACCACCGAACACCATTCCACTGGACCGCCTGAACGGCCTCAGGGTGGCCGGCCAAGGCTGGCTAAAGAAAGCTGACCTCCACCACGGGAGCAAGCGAACGGTCCCGGCACACAGCACCACGCAGTGTCCCGTTTAAATATGGCTTCCAAGTGTTCCCTAACCTGCCCGGCGCTTGGCCAAGACCAACACAAAGAAGGAACAGAGGGGGAGAACGGATCCTGTGCCGATGCCGCTGGGAACCGACCACACCAAAAGCACACAGCCGTGAATCAGTACCAACGGGCAGGGTTGTGCCAAGTGTGGGCGTGCACACGCCTGCGTGTTTCCCATCCCTTCTCGTGGGGCACGGGGCCTGCTGGGAGCCGGGAGGAAAACTTTCCCAAGAGTGCTGCATTGCATTGCATTGCCTGTGGGGAAGGGGAAGAGGTCACACGGATCTTTCACGAGGTTTCCCGTACTTCCGAGGCTGAATTCAGACTTTTCGCCAGAAACGGTGTATATTTAGAGAGAGAGTGGCAGAGCTGTTCCCCATTAGGCACAGCAGAAGCTCGCCCGGCCTCTCGCCGTGTGTCGCTGGCCTAAACAGGCCGAGTCAGAGGGTGGGTGTTCTGCTAGGTTTTGGGGTCGGGAGGGCCTGCAGATCTGCACATGCGCGCCTGGGAACAAGCCCCACTGAACTCTGTGGGGCTTACCCCTGAGCAAGCATGTGTACGGCCATGCTGGGAACCGTCCCGGCCATGGCAGCCTCTCGCGGAAGGATCGCTCCGCCCCCACTCCGTTCCTGAAGACCCGCCGGAGGAAGGAGCATCGTGCCTGGGGATTTTTGAGACACGCGGAAAAGACCCTTTTCTGCTGATGGCGGCTCTGGGCGCTCGCACGAGAGCTGGCCGCTCTCTCCCAGAAAATCTTGGCTTATGCCTCACATCACACAGCAGAAAAGAGGACGGCCAGGCTGAGGAATGGGCACCCAACGAAGCGAGGCAGCTCCCCATTTCCCTGGCTGTTCAGGCCAGGCGCCCATCGCCGAGAATAACAGGGACGACCCTGGGGCTGCGTGGCCAGAGGGGCCCGACGTGTCGGCACCTGGCAGGCAGATGCTGAGACGCCGCCATGCACGGGGGCGCTCACGGTCCCTCCCCGTGGCAGCCGTCCTCCCTGCTGCCCCTGCCTGCCTTTCGGGCTCGGAACGGGGGGAAGCCCGAACCCCGGAAGGGCACTCCAAGGCTGCGCCGTTGGCTGGTTCTCTTGGACAGATTTTGCACCTGGGGGCCGCTACGACGCCGGGACCCCTGCCCGTGGAACGCGCGAGAGGGAGCCGCGGAGGGCTTCGTCCGCCGGGGCGGGAGCTGCGCCGGGAGAGGAAGGTCGGTCGGTGCAGTGAATGATTGGACTGGGAGTTAATACTGAGCGTTCACACGCGAGTGAGAGAGCACCATGCCATCTTCACAGGACAAGACCCTAAACGGATAACTTGACGGACAAGAGACTGCAAAGTTATACTGTAAGAAAACACATATTGGGGACCAGGTAAAGGCTGCTAAGGTGCTACGTCTAAACCTAGGTTACTTTCTCGGCTGGGAGCGCTCCCCCTCCGCCGCCTCATCAGTCGTCGCCCAGGGCCTCCGCTTTGATCTCGCTGGTTCCTTGCCGCGCCAGTGCCAGGATGGTATGGTTCACTGCTGCCATCTCCACGGCCAGCGAGATGGGATCCTGGTGGTCACTATGGCTGGTACTGTCATCCTGCACAAGCAGAGGAGGGAGGGAGGGAGGGAGGAACAGCCGGGAAAACGTCCTGTTAGCACCGCGAAGCAGTCATTCCATCCCGGTTTCGAAGAAGCCGCCGCCTCACGCGACGGGCCAAGGGGGCCGTTCGACGGACGGAGAGGGCAAGAGTCGTGTTTCCGGAGGCGAGGGGACATGCTGGGCAGGCACGGATGGACGGGGGGACGGAAGGGCGGGGGGGCGGTGTGGAGGTGGCTGTGTCTTTAAAGCGGGGGTGCTGAACCTCTGAGGGTGGCGGTGCACTGCAGAGAAATGCTCGGGGGCCGGATGCCTGTGGTGGGCGGGGCCGAGGGGGCTGGACCAAAGACAGCAGGGCGGGGCTAAAGATGCAAAATGTTCCCCGTCTCAGCTTACTGCCAGTCCCCAAATCTTAGGGCTGGCACTTCAACCTGCTAGAAGCTGGGAGGCGGAAACGAAGCAAGCCAGAAAGCCACCAAATATAGGTTGCCGGGGGGAAGGGGGACCCCAGGAGGGCTGGCTTTGGTCCAGGGCCGGAGATTCGGCACCCCTGCTTTAAAAGCTAAACAAGCTGAGAGGAGGAGAGGCCACGGAAGCCTCAGTTGGGATCTTGGCTGCTCTGAGTTCTTCACAAATGGATGGAAAAGCTTCATCTATCATTGCCTCCTGCACCGACCATGTTACAAATTCGGACCTGTCCCTCCCTATTCCAAACTCTACAGACACACACACTACATTCTGCAAGCAGAAAACTGAGATTCTGCAAGTGGACAAATGGAACGAAAGTTAAACTCGGTGTGCAGATTTCCAAACGCAGAAGTTGCACAACGTCAGGAATTTGGAATTTAGTGGGGGAGGTGCTGATCGGGCTGAGCGATCCTCGCAAACTCGGGGCAAGATTCTGCGCTGCAAGATTCTGGCTACCCATCGTTCTGACTGTCTTCCATGGTTTGGCTGGACCTCTTAGCTTATTGCTACAGCACTGAGCGTGTTAAGCACCAGAAGAAGGGGGCATGTCCCTTGCTCTGTTTCAGCAACACAAGCCTTCCCAGACGGGGAGCCCTCCGGCTGTCTTGATTACTCTCAGAGGTGCTGGGCCACAGCTCCACGGCCAGCAAGGCCGAAATCTGGCCAACGCATTTCGAAGGTGCCCACTGGAGAAGCTGAGCTGCACCATTTTGTAAGATTCTGGACGCCTCCCTTCGGTGTTTTTCTCCCTCTAAATCCCAAAGCCCCAGATATATTGACTTTTCCTTAGGAAAACGTTTCCTAACTCCTCCAGGATCATTTGGATTGGCCCTTTCTGCAGATGCCCCAAGAGGGTGATTAACCCAAGTGCTCCCTTCCCCTGAACCAACACGTGACTCTCCACCAGACGGACAAGAAGATGTCTCGCTTTATCTTAGAGAACATTTAAAAAACGGTGGCTGGGAACTTTTTGCTACAGAATGTTCCTTTTTAACAAGAGAGCAAGAGGAACAGGAAATATGGAAGCGGTGGCCACCGGAAGAGAGATAAGTGGCCCCTGAGGAAGGACTAAGGTTTGGGTTCCCAAAACTCTTGGGCAGAATGCTTTCTTCAGGCACATGGAATAATCTCGTTTGTTTTGGGATGTGCAAATGCCTTCACTTCATGCTGTTCCGGGGCAGACTGGAAGCTAAAGAGGGAGGGACGTCATTCAAAATGCCCTCTTGGCAAGATATTACGCCTTAAGAGTGTGCAAGGCTTCTGGCTAAGTGAAATACTGGATTTAAAGGGAAGCGCCAAGCCAAGACAACATGGAGAATGGCTTTCCTCCCGGCCCTGAAGACAGGGCAAAAAGCAAGCAGAAACTTTCCCCAGTGGTCATGAGAGTAGGGCTCCCTCCCCACGTTTCCTCCAGGCACTGCTCTGAGCTGCCGTGTTCTCAACATGTTAATGAGGACCAGGAGCATGCAAGGGCTAACCCCAGTTTTTAAAAACACCTTTCAGGGTGTAAGCCACAGAGGGATTCCTGCACCTAAGGACAGGCTGATATTTATGCACACTTGGTCCAAAAAAATGAGGAGGAGAGACAATTTAAGCTGACCCAAAGGGGCCACGAATCAGTTGCATTCATTAAAACAATTTCTGCCAATTGCTTCCACACCTTCCAGTTCTTACTCTGAATTTCCATTTGTGTACAAAGAGAAGCAACGTCTCCTAAGCGTGTTAACTGATCAAACCATGTAACCAAACGCATCTCTTTAGGATTACTAGAAGCTTTTTGATGGAATTATACAAAATGTCAACATATCCTAACAGATAAAGTAAACCTTGCAGGCTTTTGTTCTTTTTAAAAAATCATTTTGCAAACAGCAGGTGTGTTTGAAGATACCATGATATTTGTAAAAAATGTAAGAGGGCAAAATGCCAACTGGAATTCTGGCAGTTTGGGAGATGTTTAGACATCCCTTGCAATGGGTTTGTTCAATTGCAATGTTAACTATTTATATCCTGCCTTTAGGGGGCATGCAAACATCAATTTAAAATCACCATTTAACAAATATCCATAATCAAACTCAACAATGCTAATTAAAACCAATAATAAAATATTAACACCTTTTTTTTTTTTTAGCATACATGGCTGGATCACATCAAATCAATCACAAACACCAGACTGAAACAACCAGGTTTTACAAGCCTGTTTAAAACACAGTGAAAAGTCTAAAGGAATGTTTTGTTGAAGAGAGTTGTGTAGAACGGTCCCCTCCACGTTTTTTGGAAGATATATAACAGCATATTTTTTCCCTGCTGAAACAAAACCTGGCTTACTTGGCATTCACAATGTGTGTATAGAGAACTTATTACGAGTAATTAATGTATTTGCTTTTTGGGAATACAGAATACACTCCCCTCATCTCAGGACAGGAAATAAAAACATTGCAGAAAACAACAAGAACCTGGTCCAGCCACCTCTTGTTTTATTTATTAAACATTTAAGGGTGAAATCCTATGCAAGTTTAGACAGGCGTTCACTCTAAATACTTCTCCCCATTTTAAAAAACAAACAAACTCAAACAGCATGCAAAACGTAAGGTTCTTACATTATTCCATCTACTTGTGGGCTCTGATGGGAATCACCTGCTCACTTCTATGGAGAACAAAAGGGATCATTAGCACGAATGGCCCCTCGACTCTAAGCTGTGCATGCCCACCCAGGGCCACGAGGCGAGGGGTTTGCTTTCCCAACCCCGGGCCGGAGGCCGGCTCACGCACCACTGCATCCGTGGCCCCTGAGCTACCGGAAACATTGCTGGCCCACAGCTGCGTTCTAGAGGCCTGTGGTCTCCGACCTGGCGCCTCGGGGCACCCACCTGCCCACGGACCCGCCAGGCTGGCCTGCACCTCCGGGTTCTCTCTGCGCTTCGGCTCGTGGGAACGTTCCTCTCGGTCCCCCCATGGCTGCCCTCTGCAGATTTCATGCTCTGTGACCCGACGAGGCTATGATGGCCCCCGGGTAGGAGTGGGCCAGTCCCTAGCATGGCAGCTCTTTGGTGAGAGCCGCTGCAGGACGGCAGCTGAGCCCCCTGCCCCAAAGCAGGTGGGGACCCCCTGAGCATCCCATCCAGGCACTGCCAGCTGAACTGAGGAGCACTCCTGCAGAGTTCTGCTAAAGGTCGCCCCAGTTTTGCCCATTGCACCGCAGTCCTGGTGAGGGCCCACGCCCAGGGCGAAAGGACCACTGAGCGCAAGAAGTGGCCCCACAGAGGACCAACAGTCCAACCCCTTACTGGGTGCAGAGACGCCAGAATCGGCCCAGCCTTGCTTGAAGACCTGATACTGGCCTTGCCTTAGAGACGAGCCGCCATGGCAGAGAAGCTCCGGCATCCAAAGTGCCACGTGCTACGGATGCTGAAGTCTCCCTAAAGCAACAGGCAGAGGAAGCCGGAGGGGCGATTGCCATCATTCACCCCTGCAGAGAAGCTGCCCCAGATGCCTCCACAGAATCTCAGGGCTGGAGGCCCTCTGCTCCAACCTTCTCTTCAACCTCAGGATGTGTGGTGGTTCAGCCTTGGTTGGAAGACCTCCGGTGAGGGGCAGTCCACAACCCCATGAGGGTGATTGGCTCTGTTGCTGAACCGCTCTCCCATCGTGATGTTGAACCAAAATCTCCTGCCCTGAGACTCAAGCTCAGTGGGGAAGAGGGATGGAATGAGTCAAAAGCTGAAGACCACATGGAACCCCCTGATGCTGGTGTTACCCTAGGCGCCTCCTCCATCTGTAGGGAAGCGACACCAGAACCTTCAACAGAGCTGGACCCTGAGGAACCTATGGGCAGAGGAGACTAAGGAACTGCCCAGCCTGAACAACTGCGCAACCCAAGCTCTGGAAGGTACAGGAGAAAACCACGGCCAAGTAAAGGAGTGTCCCCTTGTAGAACAGCCCATAAGGCTAAAGTCCTCTTCACAAGGAGGACACCTGCCATGGAGCCTGTGAGGGACAGCAGCCAAGCCCAGGGCGGGGCTCTGGGAGATCAGGCAACATAAGCCTTCGATTTCAGTCTGGCCATCGCGGAAATGTCTTAATTCGAGCTCAAGCCTCTTCCCTTGTGACGGAACCCCTTGCTATCGGCCTCGACTCTGCTTCACAGCCCGTTCGAGTGCATCTGCTCGCCCACAGGTGAAGCTTTGCTGCACCTCAGTCCTTCTTGCCTTCAGCTCTGGCCTTTTCCCTGACTGGAGCTGCTCCCTTCTGGGAATGATGCCAGGGTGCTGGGCCAGCTGCCTGTCTGCAGACTTGCCCCTTGGTTTCCTCTAGTGCTGAGCCTAACTCAACCGTAGGAGAACATCAACCACCATCTGGCTTCGAAGAAGGATCCCAGAAAGGTGGTGGGCAGGCAAAGGCCATCCCAGAACCTTGTTCCGGTTGGAGTGCCCCCCCTCAGCACCCGCAGACATACCCACCTAACATCTTCCCTTTCAGAAGGATATTGGTCATCCACCCACCCATCCATCCAGCTATGCCATGGAGTACCGCAGGGGTCCATTTTGTCCCCTTTGCTTTTTAATGTCTACATGAAACCGCTGGGAGAGGTCATCCGGAGGTGTGGGCTGCGGAACCATCAGTACATTGACGATCCCCAGCTCTACCTCTCGTTTTCCACCAATCCAGGTGAGGCAGTGGCTGTGCTGAACCGGTGCCTGGCCGAGGTAATGGGCTGGATGAGGGCCAATAAACTGAAGCTCAATCCAGACAAGACAGAGGTCCTGGTTGGCGGATCGGGCTTCGGAGAGGGTGGATTTGACCTGACCCTGAATGGGGTTGCACTCCCTCTTAGGGACAAGGTCCGCAGCTTGGGAGTGCTCCTCGACCCGGAGCTTTCACTGGAAGCTCAGGTGACAGCGGTGGCGAGGAGCGCTTTCCTTCAGCTTCGGCTGATTAATCAGCTGCGCCCCTACCTGGAGTCCAACTGCCTGGCGACAGCGACACACGCGCTGGTGACTTCCCGCCTGGACTTCTGTAATGCGCTTTACGTGGGGCTACCCTTGAAGACATTCCGGATACTTCAATTGGTGCAAAATAGAGCTGCCAGGTTGCTGACGGGGACTGGGCGTTATGTTCACATGACTCCAGTCCTCCGTCAGCTTCACTGGCTTCCCATTGAAGCCCGGGCCCAATTCAAGGTGTTGGTGATGACCTATAAAGCCCTAAACGGCTTGGGTCCTGGCTACCTGAAGGAGCGCTTACATCCATATATGCCCGACCGCCCCTTGAGATCAGCGGGAGAGGCCCTTCTCAGGGAACCCTCCGTGAAAGAAATTAGGAGGGTAGGTACTTGGAGGAGGGCTTTCTCTGCGGTGGTGCCCAATCTATGGAATGCGCTCCCCAGAGAGGTCTGCCTGGCGCCGTCGTTATTTGTTTTTTGGCGCCAGGCAAAGACCTTTTTATTTAAGCGTCATTTTAATTGTTAACAATATTTGCTTATTTATCTGGCCAGGGCGACTTCTTTTATATTGTTATTTATTTTATATTGCTAATTTTACATTGTTATTTTTGTATTTTATTGTATTTTATTTTGTGTTGTGAGCCGCCCCGAGGCTTCGGCAAGGGGCGGCATAGAAATGTTTTAATAAATAAATAAATAAATAAATAAATAAATAAATAAATAAATAAATAAATAAATAAGAGTGTTTATCAATGATTTTGATGTTACTTGTAAGGTTCCTCAGAAGTGTTTCTATCCTGAAAGGCTATATAAACAGCCAACACACGCGCACACAGAATCTAACCCTCCGAGATGGCAGACAACAAATCTTGCCTCCTTCTAGTAGACGGGCCTTTCTCAGTGCTGTCATTATCTCCCTCTCTAGCTTCTTAGTGCCTAATTTTCCCTGGGTGGCTTGGAGGGGCCGGAGCAGGGAGAATTATTGTTGTATCGAATGACTTCAGCCCATATATTTCTATGCTGGTCTTTGAAAGGTTTCAAAGAACATCCAGCTAATGAAAGAGTCTACAGCCAAGCAAACCAGGAAATCGAGTAAAAAAGCACAAAACTTCGGCAGGAAAAGAGACATACCAAAGCAAGGCCAAGCAAGAACTGAGAGGGGCTGTAGCTCAGTGAAAGAGCCTCAGGACAGTCCCGGGTTCAAGCCCTGGCATTCCAGGTCAGGCCAGGGAAGAATTCTGCCCGAGATCCTGGACGGCCAGTGTCGACCAAACTGAGATCCAGCCACTGCTGGCTATGCTGAACTAGATGGAGCCAGAGACCGACTCCCTGTGAACAGCTTCCGAGGTTCCTAAGTTGGGATGCAAAGATTCGCACCCCAGAACTTCCTTCTTACTCAGCGAGCTCAGATCACATCACATCTGCAGATGCCGGGCAGCGCTGGCAGACTCTTTGCGCAAAGTATGCAACGGGAGTGAGGCTTTGCGCAAAGCACACCGAGCACGTAATTCTTTGTGGAGCATGTGCAAAGCCCACGAGTCGGCGTGAGGTGGGCCAGAGAAGAGAGACCGCGGGCGAGAATCCAAGCAGCCCGGCTGAGAAATCCAAAGGATTCTGACCCCCAAAGCCAGATTCCAGCCACACATTTCTCAAAGTGCCACCAGAAATAGCAGGGGTGATTTTTTTTAAAGCCCAGATAATCAAATGGGCCCCAGAAGAGCCTCCCTGGGGAGGGTACTGTGGGATTGGGTGCTACCAATGAAAAGCCCCTTCCTTTCGATCAATTCTGATGGCGAGGGGGAAGGGGCTCAGGGAGGGTCCCGGCCTCCGGGCAGGGGCGTCCGTGGGCAAACATCCACAGAGGGGACGGGAAGCGGCAAGAGCAGGAAGCCGTGCAGGGGAGTCTGAGCGAGGGTGCATTTTCTCTTATTCCTGCAGCGGGAGCGTTGAGGATCCTCAACAACCTGCCCCAACAGGGGTTCTCCAGATGTGTTCAACCCCACCTCCCAGAGCCTGAAGCCACGCTTGCCCCATCTGGAGGGGCCCAGCTTGGAGAAGACTGCCCTAGCACGATGGAACAACTTCCACAGGGAAAGCGTGGCCGGGCCCCGACGTCCGGAACGACCGACACGCGGGCAGGTGGCAGGAGAAACCAACCACCGGACGTCAGCTGGGAATCCACGAGCAACGCATCCATGGGGTGGGCCTGCAGGTTCGCCGTGGTCCCCTCGAGCCATGGCCGAGGTACGGCGGCTACCCCAGAAGTCCGCAACTAAAGGACTGACCGGGATCTTCTATTACAAACCAGCCTCTGCTTCACTATGGGATGGCAAATGCGTTCATTCTCGGGGAACGGGAACATGCGACCTTGCGTGGGGGAGCCAGGGGATCAAAACCTGCGTATTTTTGTGCCGTTAAGCAGGGCTGTGTGTTCCAGACCCGACGTGCAATTCAAAGGGGCTTGCAAAGGCAACCTCCACGCTTGGAAGGCACCTGCATCCTTTATGGGGACTGGATTATAAACAGCTCCTGGGTGTTTTCAGGACTGTTTGTATTTCTTTGGCAATGAGCAAATAGGATGGAACTAAAGCAGAGATAAAGGTTACATCCCCCCTGAAATTAGAGGGCTGTGGAAATCCCTCTGTTGCAGAAAAATGACAGAGAAATGTTAAACTAAAGAGGGAGGTGGGGGGCTCCTGCCATGTACCCCCATTCGCCCACAGATGTCCAATGACCCATAACACGCAGGCGAACCACACGCGCATCCCATTAGATTTCACTGGAAATTGTTGGTGTGTTTTACACCATCTCCTTGCCCCCCGGAACAATAAGGACTAGAAACATGGTGGGGGGTTGAAAAAGGCAAATCAGAAAGAAGGGTTCTTGTAGGATACACACAGCTCTGGTTATGGGGCACATGGGAGAAACAGACACGGGGTCACTATGTGTGGGGGTGCAGCTCGGACGGGTTCATCATGCCCCTGAACTTTTCAAAGGGGTGCGAACGGAGCGTCAACTTGCTTGTTTTGAGCAGATCGTCCTGTCTTCTTCTAACTTCTCTGCTTCTCTGCCTCCCTCTGCACATCGTCCCTCCTCCTCCCCATTGCGCACTGGCCAAGCGTCCTGTTATGCGACAACAAATCCGAGTGGGTGAAGGCTGTTCCCGCGCAGCTCTCCTTTCCTGCCTTCCCCCATTGCGTGACAGTGGAAAAGGCCGAGTCCTGCCCGGGTGCTGAGGAGGCGAGGCCCACCCCCGCGTCCCCACCCGCTGCGTCCCCAAGCGAGGAAGAAGATGCTCTCCGCTCTGAGGCCACCCCGCGCAGGGCGGATACTTACCTGCTCCGAATAGTCATTCCCGTCTACGTCATCGCTGTTGGAGTGGCCGCCAGGACTTTGTACATCTATCCCATGACTCTCCAGGATTGCTGCTTCTTCGAAAAAAGCAAATGGATCCCTGAATTATCTGCTGCAGGGTTACCGATAAAGATGAAGATGAACAATGGGACCCTCGCCAACGGGGCACGTCATTTCTTGTAAGAACCACAAAGAAATACCCGGAGCTACGTGTCCTGTGCACTAAAAAAGGAAGCGGCCTTAAAACTCTGCCGGGAAAAAGGGGATCGGATTCTGCCAAGGAAGAGCAACCAAGTTTCTCTGCGGAAACTCACTCTGCGTTCGGATTCTCTTATCAGACACACACTATTCCGGTGCAGCTGCTGCGAGGGAAGGGGCTTTTGTGGAACACAGGGTCCCTAATTCTGGAAAACTTCCGCCATCGGCCCTCTGGCTTCTGATTTTGTGACAGCCGTTTTCTTCACAGTCATAAGGATAAGAAACTTTCCTTTCACATGGAAACAGCAGTTCAGCAGCTGAATTCAGCACCTATTGCTATGCTTCACACTTGCTTGTGAACTCCTGTAGCATTCTAACACAACACACATCCACACACACACGGCACAAACAAGCTTCAAATCTAGAAAGCCCTTACTCAGGAAGAGGAGGAAAAAAACAGCCTTGATTACTGAGGCCACAAAAAAGCAACATTCAAGTAAAATTCCTCTCTGTGGGAATGCCTGTAGATATTCCCAGTTCGGGAGATGGACTGTTTTGGTCTTTGTTTATTGCTGGTTATAAACTGCCACTTGATGGTTCTTACAATAAACACGCACCCTGTGTGGGGGGTCCCATTTTCGTCTTCATTTCAATATGGTGCAAGCCCTTTTTGTGTGTGTTGTTGCACTGTTAAGAAAGGAAAATTAATTTGGTTGGAGGAGCATGAACGCCAATTCCTTAAAGAAAAGAAAAGAAAACACATGCAGAAGTAAAATCAAGTTCTTAGCCCATGTCTTTGCTCAGGCCCTGCAATCATTTGGTAGTCCTGGATGCCTCCAGGTCTCCGTGCTGGCCTGGAACTCTCAGACTGGGAGTTGGGGTCCAACTCCTGCATTAAACCAGGGGCCGGGACCCCTTTACTTTCTGTGGCATGGCCACGGCTTGGCTTGCTCACACAGTTTAGGAAAGACCTGCTGGCCCCGATCCCAGGGAGGCTACTGCCTGCGCTCCCAACCTTGGGGAAGCCGAAGAACATAAGCGGACCCTGGACGGATCAGGGCAAAGGTCCATCTAGTTCAGCATCTCAGTGGCCGAAGAGAAGCCCCAACGAGGCTTTCCTCTTGCTCCACATGGCATGTGTCTCCTCCCCTTTTAAAGTCCTCTCAAACCATCAACAGTCATGAAAAGGTACGCTTTGCCACTTAGAAACACAGAAACAGAGCGGGTCAGAAGGGGCCTCCCGGGCCATCTAGTCTGACCCCCGGCTCCAGCCGGTTCTGCTCACGGCATGCCCACCATGTGCACGTCCAGCCTGTCCTTGAACACCCACATTGATCGGGCCTCAACCACCTCGCGTGGAAGGCCATTCCATGCCACTTAAGTTGCTCGGTTCGGATCTGCTTCCACCCAAGGTTATGGGACGGCCCAAGATGTGGCATTACAAGAGGGGGGGAACAAATCTTCTCATAGCCAAAAGCCTCTCTCTGGCTCTCCCTTTGTATTCCAAACCAAGACATCCCCCAAACTGCCCCCTTTCCTTGCAGAGAAGATGCCCCAACCCCTTCACAGCATTGCTTGCCCTGCTCTGCAGACCAGACGCCGTGGCTGCAACGGCTCTTTTCCCACGTCACCTTTCTTCCCCTCACCCCTTCCACCCCCGTGCAACACAACGGAAGACATTTTGCTCTCCTCAGGCTTCCAGGGGGCTGGGGACTGATCCCTCTCCCACTGCAGACAAAGGTGCCCCTGAAATTTGGGAGCGCAACAGCAAGAATGGGCTAAATTTCTTTCAAACGGGCTGCTTTTTGCTGCTGGGCCACCGAATTTCAGTAGCCATTTCAGCCAAAAGAAGCCAGCCCTGTTTTCAAAGACGGCTTGCACAGGAAGTGCCTTGAATATTCCTCAGCTCTACACAGATGTGCTCCTAAGATGCAAAACCTCCATTACTTTGGGAGAATATTACTAAATAATTGAAGATAGCTTTGCAGTAAACGAGGACATACAAGATGGGGTGGAGAACTAAGGATATCGTGAGAGGGATGCAGGAGGGGGAAACACAGAGCTTATTTCCAGGGTTTAACATGCATAAATATTTTGTTGCCCGCATTCTGTTTGGGGCAGATGGAAGGCATTCCCTATCGGATGCAGTGGTTGGAAAACCCTTGGGCGACAGAGCCTATGACGGGGGTGAAATCCACATTTAGGGGGGGGGGGTGCTTACATCAGAGAACTTTTTTTCACTTTTGGAAACAACTCATGCCAAAACCAGCCAGTCTCTGCAATGAGCATCGCACCTACTTTACATGCTCATTATCTCTGCCACTGTGAATTTTAGATCAAAGGATCGGTTCATGCAAGACTTTTCCTCTGCACATGTCATTTAAAAAATGTGTCATGTTGTTTTGCTTTTCCAGGGGCTCCGAAGCATTTCAAACCTTTGAAAGTACTGCACAAAAGCATCAGCAGCATCCCGCATGGATCACCACTCGAGAGGAAGATGTAGGCTACTGCCGAATCGGCTGGGACAGAGTGTAATACCCTGTATGTTCCAGTGTGGCCTGGCCCGTAATGGGACGGTAAAGAGAAAGGTCTGCACAGAGAAAGACCTGAACGAGCAGGCTCACAAGGGGCTGGGACAGTTATGCCGGCCGCCTTAAATCTCACCAGCAAAGCTTTGTGGCTGGGGACGACTCACTCGTCCCTCAGCCAAAGGCCCCCGTTGTGAATCAGGCCGTGGATTTCAAAACTGCCTGCGTACGAGGAAAGCGTTCCACAAAACCTGCTTGCTGCAAGGGCCCCGTGCTCGCAGAAAGCTCTGGGAAGCGCTGCTAGGATGCACCTCCGTTCGCGCACGGCACCGGTCCTGCCCATCCACAGCTTGCTGTGAGGCTTGTTGCTTGGCATGCCCCCCGCACTTCTGGATCCCAGACGGACATCCACACTGGGAGCTAAGCACGTCTGCATTTCAAGGCAGTGTCTGCATCCCTCATCTTTCCACTGGAGAAGCTCCCGACAGCCTAGCAAAGCACCTGAAATCATCCCACGCGTTCCTTGAACCCAGTGTGAAAGCTCACGCCGGGCCAGTAGGTGCTTCACACACTCGCCAATGGCACCAGCAGCAACGGTGCTTTTGCTGACCCCTGAACACAGAGACACCCTGCGGTTTTTGACCCAGGGAAAGCGCTACCAGGCTCCCCTGCGGGATTCAGCTTTGAAATCCCCATCAGGGCCCACTGTACTCCCTCTCTGCTCAGCAGCTCCTCAAGGCCGTCTGATACATTACCGATATTGGCCCGTCGCTTGATTTCCTTCCGTCTGTTGGCAAACCAGTTGTAGACTTTGAGGGAGGTGACTCGCTCCAAGTCCGAAAGCTTCTTCCCTGAGTGTAAAATAAGATAAAAACAAACCCCAGACTTCGTCAACATGCGCTCTGTCCCACGAGGCGCTCCAGGCTGGTGCAGGGCTGCTTGCTTCTACCTGGCGTCCTCATCAGCCCCAGTCAGTCCCAGCACTGCACTGGTCGAGCATGCTGGGAACTGCAGTCCAAGACATCTGGAAGGCACAGGCCGGGGAAGGCTGCCATGGGGCCTCCCAAACTCATGTTTCCAAACACATGCCTGGCATTCTTTGTAGAGAGAAATAAAGGCCTTTCCCTAAATCCTCCCAGAAGGCACTTGACCAAGAAACGAACACAGGATGGGGCTTTGCGGAGAAGCCTCGCCTCCGTTTTTAATGGCTGCCATCCCTTCCTTTAATAGCAGACGAAGGTGCCGAGTGCTGACAGGACCGGAGCCAAAACAAAGCCACCGCGAGTGAAGAAGGCATGCCAAGGTTTGCAGAACCTTGCTAAGAACACCTCTAAACATATTTAGGGGTAAGGAAGCCTTGGGGGACTTCCTGCCCCTAAAGCTCTGTATGGGTTGCAGCTGCTCAGCATGGCCAGGCTCCTGAACATCAGTTAGCAAACTAAAACAGAAACCCAGAGTTAGCAGGAAAGAGGGATAGCAGGCGAGAACAGAGTATCTAGCCAAATCCCGGAATGGGAGGGCACCTATTACCAGGCAAAGGTGTATCACAGTGTTGCTTTGCAGGTAAAACCTGTTCAGGTCCAGGGGAGAAAATAAGAAGGCCCTAACCCGCTTCTCCGAAATACCACACGCAGGATTCCACCATTTTAAAGAGGGAGGAGGTAAAGAGCCTCCACACAACCCCACCTGGGCCTGGAAGCAGGTACAGAGCAGTCTTTGACCCGGCTGAAGGTACCCAGCCCTCTGCACTGGGTCCAGCTTGAGGTGCTTTTTAAGAAGAGCCCCTCCCAGTCCGTGCCGAGAGCTGATACCTTTGTGACTGCACCTGAGGGCAAGGTTTTGTCTCTGTTCTTCCAGCGGCACCCAGTTTACTTTGAAGATTTAAGTAAATGGGACCTCCAGAAGAAGAGGTGAAGCCGCCTTTAACCATGGCAGAACTTTGGTTGATCTGAATCATATCCGAGACCCAACAAGCTTGGCAGCTCCCAATAACCAACACATGCAAGAGCCACCAGTAGGGTCCCTCAGGAAACCAAGACCCCCACCCCACATCCTGGACCCCCCAGCCCTGCCAGCCCCCTGTGCTGGGTGAAGAGGGGCTTTCTTGCCCAGGCCCTCGACCTTGGTGGGCTGCTGGCGGCCCGAAGAGACGCCCACACTGAGGATGCGGTGAAATGGGCCAGGCCACGCCTGCCTGTGGGAAGCCCCCCAGTAAGCAGGAGTGCAGCAGCAACTGGGACGCCGAGGTGCACCGCCTCCGAGAGGGGAGGCCTTCCAAAAGGCCATCAGGACCAGGAGCCACGGAGAGTCTTCTCCTCTGGGGGCCTTAGCAGTGAACTAGTTCCATGATGCCCCAGATCCCAAGGAAGCGTGCAAGCAACGCTGTGGCTCGCTGCGTGTGGCCACACCGGGCCAGTGACCAGGCGGGCTACGGGCCCTGCAGCGGCTCTGCCACAGGCCGACTTGCAGGCACAGGAGCGCCTTGCTGGTCGGGCAGAAAGCCCCCCTCGCCCAGCACCCGGCGCCCAGCCTTCGCCTCCCGGGGCGCTGCTCTCCCAGCCACTGACTCGCAGGGGAGCACCGCCTCCTTGCACCTGGGGCTTCCAGTGGGTGAACACCAAGCCCCCCACCCCACATCCTGGCCCCGCCAGCCCTGCCAGCCCCCTGTGTGCTGGGTGAAGAGGGGCTTTCTTGCCCAAGCCCTCGACCTTGGTGGGCTGCTGGCGGCCTGGAGAGACGCCCAGGCCACGGATGCAGTGAAATGGGCCAGGCCACGCATTCCGTGGTCTGCAGCAGCATCCCAAAAGGGGCAAGCATCAGAATGTAGCCGCCCCACTCAGTCTCGTCCGGCGATCCGCTCATGGTGGCCCGCCAGCCGCCCACAGGATCCCGCACCTGCCGTACTTGGGCCGGTGGAGGTGGCGTAGAGCCAGTCGGGACATCTGCCTTTTCTGAAACTCTTGGAAGGGAAAGGGGCGGCTCTTTTCCCACACTCTGTGCGCCTCTTTCCTTCCTTCATCTACAGGGCCACTATCACTGGACGGGAGGAAAGGAGCAGCTTGACACCAGGCTGTTTCGCAGAATGAAAGCTAGGCGTTGAGGGCAGCGCCAGGTTTCCCCCGGTCGTTCTCCTCTTTTATGGGTGCAGCTCCCTCGTGTCTAGGCCACCTTGGAAAGAAGCCCTGCTGGGGGAAACGGAGCCGGGGCCCACCGGCAACTGTGCATCCTTAAGCAAATGGGCAAACCGTGCGTGGGCCGTTCCAAAGAAAGCCCCCACCAGTGCCTCCCGGGAGTGTCTTGCTCCGGTACCTGGCTTCTGAATGACTGCATTGCAGGCATTTGCGATTTCTTCCCTCTTGGCTTCATCGGGATATTGATTCTCATTGAAGTAGCTACAAAACAAGAAGAACAAACTGTTTTTAGAAATCCAGTCCTTTTCCCACACTGCCCTTCCAACCCCCACCCCCAGAAACCACAGAAATTCTCCGTGGGAAAAAATAAAAGTCAGAACCCTTGAACATACAAGAGAGAGATTGTTTGTCATTTCTTGCAGAAGAAAGGATATTCGCATGAATCTCATATAGGCCTTGCACAGATATAGCAATGCCCAGCCATGGGCAGACAACCAGGGTCTTATGATATGCGTTTAAAAGCGATTAGCAATAAAATACCACAGCTGTAACTCATACCCTTTCACAGGGTAAGCCTCACTGTTAGTTTGAGGACGAATGGTTAAAGTTGTCAGCTTAAACCATAGTTTACAAGCCCACTTCTAACCTTGGGTTGCAAGCTACGGACTGGCAGTGGGCAAGATCAGCAATAAATAAATAAATAAATAAATAAGCAGGCTTGGGAGTAATATTAACTGCTGTTAACTCCATGAATGCACTTGCAAGAGAAGGTGGAAGCATGTGTCAACTGAAGCTAAAATGCAAGTCACCCGTGGAGATCTGCCTTGTTTTTCTCAAAGTGCAGTTGGAAAACTTAGACTTGGAAGGTGGACTTGATGGAGAAGAGAGGGGTAGGAATGTGGCATGGAAATGCCAAGGTTAAAAAGTGAAATCGGTCGGACTGCTGCTGTAAGCCACACTGCTTCAGGTTTGGGGAAGGCATGGAGGAGGAAGGGTGTGAATTCATTAACCCAGTGACTTTTCTACTGTCAAGCCCCTAAGCAGAATGAACCTCCCTGAGGGTGGAGTCAGCCCTCTTAGGAAAGGACAGGAGGAGCAGGTCTTCCATTTAGACCCAACCCTTCGCAGAGGCAAGAGCTGCTCCCCCAAACCAGAGGGAAGGTTACTTAGACTGCTGCAACTTGAGAATAAGTTTCTTATGAAGCAGCTGCCTAGCTCGAATAAACAAAACCTTCAGTATTTCAAAACCTTCAGTTTAGATCTGCTGGAAAGGCAAGAGATGCGCTTGCAGCAGCATTCAAAAAACACACTGAGGAAGATCTCCAAATTAGACCTTGTGCTCTGAATCAGGAAGATGTGCCCTGCAATGTAGTGTGAAGAATCGACACTTTGGAGGCAGGGAGACAGGTCAACCAAAGCAGTATCTTCAAGAGCCGATGGCATAGCCAGTTCAAGTCTACTTCTAGGAGTGTGGGGTCTGCCCCCTAGGGATATTCTAGCCCCTGATCAAATTTCTATCCTTTGTTGAAAAATAATGGGGCAACAAAAAGGGGAGAGACCAGCACAGTTCAAAGGAGAACCAGACAGAATTCTTAACAGCTCGTTGAGAATTCTCCCCTCCTTCTCAAGTAAGAAACCCTAAAATATTAACGGATAGCTATAAATAAATCCCCCTACTTCCTCCTAGTAAACAACTTCATTTTCCAGGCAGGCAAACTGAGTTTTCCAGGTGAAAAAACAGAATATTGCCAATTTTTAAAAATCTTGCTATGAAGGTAGGAAGTCAGACAAGGTATGGGGGCTGTACAGATTTTTGCACTGAGTTCCACACATATGACTGTCTGCCAGATGCCTTGAAAGGGTGGGTGCCTGCTTAGCATAATGCACGCCTGGCTCTCAGAGAACAAAACCTTTCCCTTGAAGCTAAGATTGTGGACCTGGAGAAGCAAAGAGGGGCACAGAGGTTGGTGGAGGAGAACTTCAGGACCTCAACAGAAGTTTCCTAACCCCTGGGCAGCAGCTCCTTTCATGTCACAGAGAATGGGAGCCTCGGGGATGTGAGGTGTCATTCCGAGTAAAAGGGAAACGACTCCATAGAAAGGAGCCATTTCTCAGAAAAAGGAGCAAATATTCTCTCGTGCCAAGCATGTGCCTCAAGGGACAGGGGGCTTCAATAGTGGAATGTCCAGTCCTCGACACGTAGGGCATGGGGCTTGTGATGGGCATGTAGACCAGGCGGTAAATCACCTACAAGGCCTGCTGATGACACACGTCATCTGAATAATTGCATAGATGGTGTTGGGATAAAGTCCGTGGTCATGGTCCAGGGTAAAACATCTGTTAACATAAAAAAGTTTCTGACTGCTTGTGTGGAGAACAGATGGAAATGGGCTGTGAACAGCTGTGAAACATGGTTACCACTCAAAGGGGTCTCAGTGCTAAAAGAGGAGATACGCATGCCAGAGATATCTGGAAAGGGACCGTGTGTATAGACATCTCTAGGCAAGTGCTAGGGAGCCACGTGGCTAATCAGGCAGGCTGAAAATAAAATAAAATAAAATAAAATAAAATAAAATAAAATAATCAATCAATCAAAGCCTCCAACCCAACCTAGAATTGGAGAAAGCTGGTGGAATGCAGAGAATCAAGGGGGACATTTTTGGATATAAACTCTATAGGAGGGACACGGTTTATTTGGACTTCCAAAGCAAATTTAGCAGCTGTGGAATAAGAGGACAGACCCTTTTATGTTTCAGGAACTTGTTAAAGAAGAGAAAGGAGAGAACAGGACTAAATGCCAAATCTTCCCAGTAGAGGAAGGTCAAAAGTGGAGTCCTGCAGGGGATCTCTGATGGGATCAGTGCTTTGGGACTTATTTGTAAATGGTCTGGAATTAGGAGTAAGTAGCAAAGTTATGACACCAAATTATTTTGGGTGATGAAACCAAAAAGGGATTGTGCTGTATTCTAAAAGGATCTCTTCGGACTGGAGAACTGGCAGCAAAATGGCAAAAGTAATTCAGAGGAAGGCATCGTTAATGCACTTTGGGGAGTGGGGGATTCCAACTTAAGCTGATGAGATCCAAAACAGCAGTTGCCCACTAAGAAGAAGACCTTGGGGTTTGAGTGGACAGCTCGATGAAAATGTTGGCCCAGCACACAGCTGCTGTGAAAAGGGAAAACTCCGTGTTAGGAATTACAATTAGAAAAGGAATTGAAATTAAAACTGCGAAGATCATGCTCCCCTGATACAAATCAATACCATGCCATGTTCTGGTCACACCTTAAAAAAGGACATTGTAGAATTAGAAAAAGTCCAGAAAGGGGCAATTAAAATGACCAAGGGGCTAGAGAAACTCCCCTGTGAGGAAGAGTTGCAAGATTGTCCAGCTCAGAAAGAAGGGGACTAAGGGGGGAGAGAAACGAATTATACATGGAGTGGACAGGAAGGTGGTCTTCTCTCTCTCTCATCATACAAGAATCTGGTGGGGTGACCGGAAGGGATTCAGCAGAGATCAGTGGAAGGCCTTCTTCACGCAACATGCGGTTCCACGACCACGAAATGTGGTGATGGCCACCAGCAAAGGGAATTGGAGACATTCATGGAAGCGGAGGCGATCAACAGCGACTAGTCCCGACTGGCCATATGGTCGGATCTCTTCAGTGAGTCCTGGGCAGGGGGTAGAAAGACCAAATCCCCTCTTCTAATCCATGCGTCCCCTGCTCTTTCGTCCTTCACCTGCCACGAGGTTGGTTTCCCTCTTTGCACTTCCAAAAGAACAGGCAATTCTTTGGCACAGGCTCTTTATTCTCCACCACACTTCCAGGAAGCACAACCAACAAAGAATGAGTCTCTGAGCATGCACAGAGCGGTTTGCTGGACCCAGGCTAGCAACTACTTCTGAGTATCCTCCTTTTGAGCACCCTTCCTCTGGGATGCCCCTTTTGGAGACAGGCAGACCTCTTCTCTGCCCGTTGCCCCTCCTGCTGGTTGGCCCCTCTCCCCTCCCCTCGCCTCATGGGATCAAGAGTTGTGCCAGGCTCGGCCGGCTGCACAAGTTCTCCTCCCACACCCCCCTCCCTGCCGTAGCAAATCCTCACTCTTCTCAACGGCGGCCTGAACACCTGGGGAGGGTCTCCTTGAGAGAAGCCCCCCGCTTCTTCCATTTCCACACCTGAGATTTCTGATTTCCAGGACCACCCACATCCGACAAGACTGAATCTGCTTGACCTTGAAATGTGCATCAGGAATAACAGTTCCTCTTTTTCCTAGCATCACCTTTTCCTTTCCCCAGTGCCTGCTGCTCAGCCCTTCAACGGCCCTGTCCTTCTTCATGCCGTCTTTTTGCAGAATTTCAGATCTTTCTGCCTTCCTTCCTGGCGACACTGACGGATGTTTGCAGAATCTATCATATCTGCATTCCCCAGCTTCAGGTATGCATTAGAATGCAGCTATCTGCTGAATTTTGCTCTTCTCCAAAGATTGCAACAGAGCCTTCAGTTCCCAAAAAGGAAAGGGGGGAGGGGAGCTTCCAAACAGGTTTTTAAATGTTTATTCTAAGAAAGTACACATTTAAAAATGTGTATTTTGGGGCAACACCTTTATTTGTTGAGAAATATGAATTTAAATGTAGGCGTTTGTACTGCCAACAAAAGAGATCAGAGATTAATGCAGAAATGGAATTAATGTATAGACAAACACACAAAGTGACAAGAAATAGTGATCTCGCTATACCTACTTTTGAGAAAAGGGAATTTTTTCTTCAAACTGGCCTTTCACATTCCTCACAGAAATTGAACTGTTTGTCAGCATTCTAGCAGTGACGGTACCACACTTGCCAGTGGGAAAGAAGAGAACGGGCTGCTTACAGGTAGGCGACTGACAACGCTATATATATCAATACAGTTCCCAGTTCCAAAACTCTGCCAATTCATGTTAGACCATGCACAGTTTGAAATGCTTTGAAGCGGCGAAGGGGGGAAAAACAGAAGGGGAAAAAGCCTGGAGATAAAGAAGGAAGTGAATGATTGCAAAGGATAAACCTTTGCCAGTTGCAATTGTGCTTTCTAGACAAAAGGCGCCGTCAGCAGCACAATGGCTGATCAGGGAGGGAATCAAATGATCTTTTTTGTGCAAGGCGACAGTAAAGGATTAAAATGAAAAGCGGCCGAAAGATGTGTGCTGGATGAGAATGCGGAGGGATGGCAAAAAGGCCGAAATATCCTTGAAGCGGTTTCGTTTCAATGGTGCTGCTGGGGGCTAGAAAGATTGCCGACTGTGGGAGACGGTGCCATCGGGGACAGCACCAGCAAATCCGTCTCAGCTTATGGCCCTGGGGCAAGTCATCTTTGGCATCCAGACCAAGTTGCCCCCATGTGAAGCTTCATTGACCAAAGATGGGCCTGGCCTGAAGGGTGAGGCGACTCCCAGGATCCGGCGGGCACAGAACCTGCCTCTTCTTGTTGTCAAAATAGGCAAGCAGCCCCCTCCCACAATACTCCATTCCATTAACCCCACCTGATGCTGCCTTATTCCCGTGACTATGAGCCAGCATTCTGCAATTTCGTCTTTCTGGGTTTTTTCTTCGTATGGAGGTACTTTATATATATTATAAATAAAGTATGTACCTTACACACATACACACACACATATATATAGGCAAAACCTGGGTTTCTCCCAAGCCTTCCAGTATTTATTTATAGTTTTTATATGCCATCCCCTTGCCATATATATAGCCTTGGGATGGCTCACAGAAATAAATATCATACAAATACAGTTAAAAACCCGGAAACACAATTAAAACCCAATAAATATTAAACATTGTTAAAATATTGTTTGAATAAAAAGGACTTAGCCTGGCACTGAGAAACAAGTAACGACGGTGCCAGGCGGACCTCTCTGGGGAGCGCATTCCACAGGTGGGGCGCCACCGCAGAGAAGGCCCTCCTCCGGGTGCTTTGCCTCCTGATGTCTCTCCCGGAGGGCTCCCGGAGGAGGGCCTCTGCTGCCGATCTCAGGGGGCGGGAGGGCAAATATAAGTACTGCCCTCCCTTGAGTGAAACGTGCCATTTTTACCAACAGGAAGATCCAGACTTTGCTATTGGGATACAGGATTAGTCCTCTCAAAGAGGACTGTTCCACCCCATGTCCTAGAATCCTCTGCATGAGCTGGCCTTTTGCACCTCCGGGGTGCTTGAGTGGGATGGCCTAAATTGATGTCCTGGCTCGAGGGCCTTCATGGCCCCTTCCAAACATTCTATTCTGTAATTCTGTGACCACACATGGGGAGGTTATCCGGATGGGTAAAACTGGAGTTACAAGGGAGTTAGGGTCTTCTCCATGTGGATATAGCGCAAGGGCCATGCAAGGCTTCTTGTGTTCCTGGCAAAAGGAAAAAAGAGTGGGAGATCCATGGAATACGGTGCAGAATTCTCCCATTATGCGTCAACACTGAGCAGCTCAGTCAAGGGTGATGGGAATTGCAGTCAGAAGCAGCTATAAAAGGCCTTCCAGTGCAATGGTGCTTTCGACGCCACACCAAACATGGGAAAAGGCATGTCTGGGTTCCCCCAGGGAGAGCTCTACCAGCAGAAGGGAAAAGGGGGAAAGCTGGCAGCCCCAACGGCAGAATGCGCCCCTTTGTAAGGCCCACTTGCTCTCTTCTGTCAGACATTTAGCAGCATGTAAGAGGTCCTGGGATTTTTGCTGCCGATGGTACAAAGACTGTTTTCTCTTCTTGCATGCAAATAGTTTTAAATTACATTATTATATCACATGCTTGGGGCCGTGAACTTTGGAAACCGCCAGAGCTTTGGTTATTGGGCAGTGTGGAAATATAAGAAAGGGAAGGAAAAGTTTTACAAAAGGGCACCTGTGCGTAAGCTAGCAAGAGATCCGGGGAGCGGCTGGGGGGCTTCCAACAGGCCGACTCATTCCGACTTGCGCTTCACAGAACAGGTTCCTTTGGATGCTTTGAAGCAGCCAGCAACCGTTCTTACAGTCCGACTGGAGGGGGCCGAACCCTGCCTTTCAATACTCGCGCCCTAGAAAGGCCCAGGGCAGTTTCTTCCATAGTATGCAGCCATTCAGGCCAAAACCACGCAGCTAAAGAGAATCTCGTTCCAATCCATGCTATCCATCTGCAGGACCCTGCAAGTCGCTCGCACATGGAAACGCCCCAGCGGGCTGGATCAACGAGAGGGGCGTACATGGCGAGAAGAGGGGCTGTGGCTAGCCGACAGGGGCTCTCCCCTCAGCCATGGACACATAAGGTAGAATACCGGCCTACCTTCCAAGGCTGACGTAAGCCAGAGGTTTCCAAAGTGCAGTCCAGGGAACCCTGGCTCACGACTTCTACCCTTCTGATCTGTCCTGCAAGCAGTGCTGTCACCACGTGAGATGCCGCCCGAGGAGAGACGAGGCCTCGGACGTCACGTTGCACTCTGGGTGCTTTGGGAGTCCGAGGATGCTGGACCGGAGGCCACCCCGCCCAAGGACACATCCCCTGAGCCGGACTGCACCAAGGGGCCAACCCTGAGAAGCCCCGAGGGCTCCCCGCTGTAGTCAGCACATTGGCCCATGCGCCTTGAGCAGGAAGGCAGCCATGGGCCAGGCTTCAGGCCAGAGGGAGGGAGGGAGGGATGCCCCCGAAGGCGTCAGGGCAGGGCGACCGAGGCTGGGGGCACGCAAGGACCCGACTGGACTCCAGACTTTGCCGGGGTGACCTGTCCAAAGTCCCGCAGCCCTAGCCCGGCCCAGCCAAACAGGCCACCCTGGGCCACTTCCCCCCTGCACGGACCAAGTCTGTGCCCAGGACACCTCCCAGAATCCCCTTCGGACATGCCGAGGTTCAGTGTCAGGCATGAGCGGCCCCTTATTCGAGATCTCCCTAAAGAGTGGGGAAAGGAACGATCGAGGCAGCTGAGTGGGGGGGGCGGTGTCGTGGCCCTTTCGCATGGGAGTGCCTGGTGACAGCGACTCCGACGAGGACGCCAACCAGGTTCCCGACATTTCCCGTGGGGGGCCATCCCCCTGGACCCTGCCCCCAGCCTTCTTGAAGCGCTGATCCCCAGGAATAGACTCCGGACTCTTCCTGTGAGTAGGAAGCATTCCCCAAGCAGCTGCTCCTCCTCTCCAGAGCCCTCTCACTATCCAGAGGAAGCCAGCACCCCGGCAAAGGACACCGGCCCGTTAGCAAAACCGGACGCGGCATGTGAGGAAGGGGGGCTCCCAGGCAAGGCCAGAAGTGGCTGCCAGCTCTCCTGCTTTTCTGCAATCCTGAATCCACTCCACGTGGCAGGCTGCCTCTTGTTCCAGCCCCCCGGGCGCATCGCTCCTCCTCAGCCGGAGCAGCCACTTCTTTATTTATTATATCCAGATCTTGCCTGTTTTTCCTTTCAAGGAACTCAAGGCAGCTTCTACAGTTCTCCTCCTCCTCTCAATCTTATCCTCCGAACAACAACCCTGGGAGGTAGGCCGGGCCGAGAGCCGAGGAAGGCGAGGCCATCTCCAGCATCGCTAAGCCACCGCTGCTGTTCCGTTGGCGGCGCTCCGGGAGGGCAGGCAAGGACGGTGGAGCTGAACTTCCCCAGTGCCCACGGAGCTGCCTATAACAAATGTGACCCTTCTCCCGGGGCACAAGAGGGCATCCTTACCAGACCAGAGCACAGAAAGCCCGTTTTGCAAACGGGGGGGGGGGGGGAGCTGCGGACCATCCCTGCAGGTCATGGGGGGGGGCGCCCCCATCGCAGCGGTACGAAGCAGCTCGCATTGCAGCTCCCTGGACTGCGCCCAGGTTGCAGTTTAAATATAGACGTTGACTTGCTGGAGCCGCTGCTTCTCTTTAACCTTCAGATCGTTACTATTCCAAGGGAAAATTTCAGAAGCAGGGAGGGACCGAGGAGAGCGAGTTTCTGAATATATTGCCCAGAAACCAAACCTGAGCAGCCAATAATGTGCGTTGGGAGAAATTCCAACACGAGAAGGAGAATTACATTATGAAGGGCTATGGATTCTCCGGCATTCGATCCTCATCTGGTGAAGGTGAAGAAAGAAGATGACCATACAGGTGCTATTCAGAATGACTTCCTAGCGGACGAGCCCAGCAAAGAGACCAGATCGGTCCCGGCCAAAAGCTCTCCGATGGATCCCTGAGAATTCGCCAACAGACCAGCAATATCATGCTTCATCCAGACGTGTCTTAGTCCCACCCAATCCCAGGAAGCTCTTCCATGCGCTATGGCCCCGTCCATCTCCCTCAAGCCCCCTCAGTGCCCAAAGCTTCACTCCCTGAAGGCTAGCGGGATTCCCGGTGCCTCTTAACCTCCCGCTAAGCTCTCCAGTCCCCCCCCCCGCCCGCCCAAGCCTGACCCAAGGGGGATGAGTGCCTTGATGGAGCTGCAGAGGGGAGCACGGCACCTCTGCCCCATGCCTTGCCGGAGGGGCGCAGGCAGCTCTGCCGCTTGATGCACGAAGGTGTCCCTGCCTGCAGAATGCCCACGGGAAGACTCGGCGTCCAGCGGGAGGATGCCGGAAGCGTGGCCCTGACTGACGAGCTCGCCTGGCCTGCACAGGGTCAATTGGCTCCCTGCAGGAAAACATTTACCCACCCCTGATTTAGCTACAGCGGCCGGTCCCCACACAGCCGTGCCATACAGAAACAGAGCGAGTCAGAAGGGGTCTCCCGGGCCATCTAGTCTGACCCCTGGCTCCAGCTGGCTCTGCTCACGACATGCCCACCATGTGCACGTCCAGCCTGTCCTTGAACACCTGCACCGATGGGGCCTCCACCACCTCCCGGGGAAGCCCATTCCACACCCTCGGGGTCCTGACTGTCAGGAAGTGCTTCCTGGCATCCAAATGGAACCTCGGTTCCTTGAGCTTGGCTCCATTGGAACGCGTCCGGCAGGAAGGAAGAACAGGTCTCTACCCACCTCCATGTGGCACCCCCATAAGAAATCAACAGAACTGGGGCACCAACCACCAACTCCTGCAGCACAGACTAGAACCAGTTCAGCCCCAGTATCTTCTCAGGCAACACTATTTCATGCCGGATCACCTTCCACGGACCTGTTCTCCTGCCCGTCCTCCAATGAGATGGATGCCCTTCCACCACTGGCATCCAATAGCCTCTGCTTGGATCGTATTCGGATGAGGCAGAAGCATCTCTCTCCTGCGCCATTATACGCTGCAGCCTTGCACCGCCCGCCCACAAGGCCCTCAATCCCGGAATCCGGGGAGTCACGTACCTTTCCATGACAGCCAGGCACTCCTTTCGCCAGGTGAAGCGGCTGCCCCGCCGCAAGCGGAAGGTCCCAGAGGTAGCGGTGACGGGAGGCGGCGTCTGCCTCCATTCCGGTTCTTCGACTGGGATGGGGGCCGGCCTCATGCTTAGCGTCGCCCCTGGAAAAGCAGAGCAGAAGACGAGACGTGTTCCCCAGGGCATGCAGACCCCTGCTCCGCTTCCTAGCCTGGCTGACGGCAAAAATCCCACTCCCAAGAGCAATCAAGGCTGGCGTGGTGAGCAGGGATGGCAACGAGGGACCCACCTGCACGGGAGCAGCAGACATGGAAGCGGTGACGGTACCCTCAGCAGGGGACTGTCATGCTTGCAAGTTCTCCGCTTCGGGACTGTCCGCACCTCACTCCCTAGGGCAAGGGTCACTTCCTACACACCATCTGTTCGCGAGTCATCCATCAGCATGACAAGCGGGGTGGGGGGGGGCGGGACTGATTTTCCAGGTGCTACTGTGCTGGGGACAGAAGGCACCCCCCTTTGCTCCGTGCTGTGGAGTTTCGCCGCCAGCGGGCGTCCAGTGCACCCCGGACACCAAGGCGGGGTTTGCGGAGAGAGAAGACAGCCCTCTGCCCCTCCCTCGCCACCCCAACACTCCTGACATCTGCAGGGGAAGAGCTCACTCTGCACTGAAGCAAACCATTTCCCCTTTCCACAAATATTGGGCAGGAAGTCTCCTGAAACGGTGCCTGGCCTGCTTCTGGTATTTATGCATGGATCACTTAAAAGCAGAGGGAAGCGGGGATTTTGTTCTTCTTTTAATAATCACTTTTCTCTCCGGATGAAAATGTATGCAAATTTATTTGAGCTCATGCAATTAACTGAATTAACCAGTACATATATAACAGCAATATATATGATTCATAGCACCCTTACCTCCCTCTCTCTCCCCTTCTCTTGCACACAGACACACAAACGTCCAACTTTTCTCTGGTCGCTGTCCACTATTATGACCCTTCCCCCTTCTTTGCATGCCTTCCCCTCATCAGAGCCACACATGGCCTTCTGCCCAGCGTATGGTGTAGTATTACTTTAATTCCTTGCTCCTGAACAGCTGGAATGTTTGTGAATATTCTGCAGCACCTCAGCAGCTGAGCCAGCATTACTTTTCAGTGTATGAGCATCAAGATTCCTTCCACCAATGACAAGAACGATTTCAAAGGCCCCAATCTATCTTCACCCCAGAGTTTGCTTTTCTTTTACCAAGGTTATCTTATCTGGGGGACAGAATAGCAAACCCCAAAGCCACACGACACATGCTTTTCATGTACAAAGTCAACTCTGGAGCACATGACAGATAAACCAACCATTTCCCCAGTACAAAGCAAATCCTGTTATTCTTTTACACGTGGGTGTCCTAGACAGAAAGCGCCCAGCTCTGAAGGCATCACTTGAAACAGATCACGGCGCACTGTGGTTTCTATAAAAGAGGCCACGTGCCAACACATGCAAAATATTCAGAAGTGGATCTGCAAAGCAAAGGGTGCCCTTGGGGGAGCCGGGGAGCCTCCTGCACACTCAACTTCAAAGTGGGACAGGTAAGAGGTAAGAGGATGAATTTCTGTACTGCTTAGCACCTGGTAACAGATGAAAAGCAATTCTATGAGGGGAGCATTTCAAAGATGCTTCGCCGTTGAAAGTAACGCCACGCCACAAAGAAAAAGCAAATCCATACCGTTTTCTTCGGTCTTTCATGTAAATCGCTTATTGACAAACTTGCTTTCCAAATGCAAAACACATTTCTCTCACTACAGAGACCTCCCGGGTTCAGTACCATCCGGGCAAAAGAGCCATGTGGCCAAGGAATTCCTGAGCTTGCCTGCAAGCTTTAAAGGGTCTCTGGTTCGAATCTCTCTGATCCAGCATTTGAGGACCTTCTCATACCGTTGGCCTACAATGGGAGGAGGCTATTTCTGTCTCTGATGGTCCTGTCCCCAACCCACTTTCCAAGGAAAGGGACGTCAGGGGATTTCTGATTCAGAAGCAAGACCTGACGTTACGGCCCAGAGCAAGGTGCCCAGGACGGCAATGCTCCATTTTTAAAAAATGTTTTGTAAGGGTTTACCCACCACTGGGGCTTTCCCCAAAGATGGCCTGCATTTCTGCAAACTTCCTGCTGTCGTTGTCCTGGTCTACCAAACCTCAGCACTTGCGTGTGGATGGTGCCGTTTTGCCTGCGAAAGCCAGGGATCTGGGCTAAGTTTGAACTGGGGGCGACTCTGGTTCCAGGCACTGCTGCCCGGCCGTGGGGGTGGCGTTCCCTGGCCATGGGAGGCCTCTGCCATGAAGTGCCGTGCGCCAGGTGCAGCAGGAGCTCTTTTCGGCTTCCTCACCCCTCCCAGCACCCACGGGACGCCTCTGCACTAAGCAGACAGGTTCTGCCCCACGGCCTAAGACACTGTGGTAGGGTGGGCCAGTTTCTCGTTGCTGAAAGCCTTCCGCCCCACTGCGAGCACTGCACAGGCCCAACTGAAGGTGCTGGGGATGGCCCTACACGGCTTGGGTCCTGGATACCTGAAGGAGCGCCTTCTCCCCTATGTGCCCTCCTGCCCTTGAGATCTGAGGCAGAGGCCCTCCTCCGGGAGCCCTCCTTGAAGGCGATCAGGAGAGCGGCTACCCGGAGGAGGGTCTTCTCTGTAGTGGTGCCCCGAATGTGGAACACGCTCCCCAGAGAGGTCCGCCCGGCGCTTCTTTCCCTTTGGCGTCAGGCAAAACCCTTTTTATTCTCCCAATATTTTAATAGCTAATTTGTTTTAATTGGTGGTTTTATACTTAACATCGGATGCTGTGCTTCTCCTACTCTGATTTCTATTTTTATTCTATTAATGGTGTTGTAAACCGTCCCGAGACGTCTGTGATGGGACGGTATAGAAAAGTTTTAAATAAATTAAATGAATAAATGAAACGCTCGCCACCTCACTTGGCTCTCTGCCGCCTGCACCTTCCTTTCCCCTCCAGCTCCGCCACAGCTGGCCCCACAGCCAGTGGCTCTCCTCAGCTCCCACGGTCCCTTTACAGCAGCCGTAGGGCAGACCCCCATGGCCTTCTCAGGCCGCCCAGTTCACAGCTGCCAGCCCACCGCTCAAGCGGACCACGTGGCCAAGGTGGAGGAACCTGGCTGGAAGGGAGCAGTGACTGCGAAGCAACGGGGACGGAGGGGCGGCCACAGGGGGACATGAAGGGGAGCTCCTGAACGCGGGACCACTGCCGTTTGCAATGGTTCCTGCAGCCCCTCGGAGAGTAGAAACAGCGTCGGCGCTGCGCTTTGCCAGATGCTGACACAGACAATGGGCTTTGGGGGCGAGTCACGAACATTCTCCTTGCCTTGATGCCCGTGTGTGAAAGAGTGAATGTCTGGATGAGAGGAGCTACAGAGGTGGAGGGTGAGGAGGCAGTATCTAGCATTTCCGGTCTCCATTGTTTCAAGTAAGGAATGTCCTGCCCCCGGGGATGCAAGGCAGCCTTGAAAACACTGGATTCACTGGGGCTTCCGGCTAAAAGTTGCACGTAACGATAGCACATGCTTGCAAAGCGTGCTGGAGTAACTCGGTTCTCCTGGGGCAGCGCCCGGGTTGCCGCGATGCAGCAGAAATGCCGCTTTTCTTTCCCATCCTGGAAAGAGCAGGTTGCTGGGGGAATGGGCCACCCCAGCCTTGGAGGGATGCCTTCCATGCGCAGAAGGGGTCTTCCTTGCCCTCCTCATACGTCAAATGCAGCTACTAAATGTCAAACAAACGGAAGGTGTGCCCAGACGCTGGCACTGCTGTGGAAAATGCGGAGCGGTGGTGTTGCAAGCCAAAGCCATCACATCTCCGACTCTGCCCAAATCCGTGGCGGCCCAGAGAGAGAGAGAGACGGGAATGCAGCCAAAGTTACTCGCTCACCCTCTCGCCAGGACCAGCAAGCTCCATGCCAACCAGACTAATCAAGCCGGTCCTAATGAATTAACATTCTGGATGTCAAGGCGTGGGCACACCGTGCTCCCTCAGGGTGACTCGAGAGTCCACCAACGCAGGAGCGCTCAGGTCCAGCTCCAAAATTTGTACTAGTCGGAAGGGCTGGTGTGCGCGCTGCAGAGTCCCTGGGGAAAGGGATCCGAGGGAGCAGTGCTGCAGCTGGCGGGTTCAGTCACTACCCAGGAGGCCACGGGTGACTCCTTGTCCCCTCTAAAGAGGATCACGGTAAGGGGAAGACAAAGCCCCGTGCATTGGTCAGAGAAGGCACAGCTCTAGACAGCTCACTCCAGCCTTCCTTGCCAGAAAGAACACCTGTGTGAGTGCCGTGGCTCAAAAAACAGCTGTTTGGTTTTTTCTCCTCCCTCCCATCGCCTCTTTCCTTTTGTGCTGTGCCTTTTAGGCAGGAAAGTCTTGCTATGGAGCCTCATAAGCTACTTTTGCAGCAAAGGATGACTGCTTTGGATGTTGCCTTCTTGAAACAAAGACAAGGGGGGCAATCCGCACGAGAGGGCCACGATCACCCCCCTTTGCTGCAAGAGGCGGGCCACTGTTGGGAGAGAGAACCCCACGGGGTGGCAACTCCATGGGATCCAGCGGGGCTCCACACATGACCTGCGCTTGATGGGGGAGCCCTTTCGCAGTCCGAGGGACAAGTCACACAACGAGAAAGGCCTTGGGGGCCCCCCACTGAGTCGCAAGCCGTCCCAAGTGCGATGGACCCCATGCTAAGCCCCCTTGTAAGCACAGGGGGCAAGTTTTCTCTGCACATTGACTCGGAAGGAGCAGGAGCAAACCGCAGGGCAGCGTGAGGACCTGCTTGTCTGCTCACGGGCAACCCACTCCCCTGCCTGCCAAACGCATTCTTCCAAATCTTTGCAACCTCTCTATTCTTTGCAAGGCATTTAGAAACACAGAAACAGAGCGAGTCAGAAGGGGTCTCCCGGGCCATCTAGTCTGACCCCCAGCTCCAGCCGGCTCCGCTCACAACATGCCCACCATGTGCACGTCCAGCCTATCCTTGAACACCTTCACCGATGGGGCCTCAACCACTTCCCGTGGAAGCCTATTCCATACCCTCGGGGCTCTAACAGTTGATTGCCTTGAAATATTTTATTTTATTTTATTTTATTTTATTTTATTTGCGATTCTTAGATGCTGCCAAATATAAGGATGTTCCTACGTGGTTCTGTTGCATCCCTTGAGAAACCTGGCTGGGAGTGATTGGTGGCAGCAGCAACGGGAGCTTGAGGACTGGTTAGGAGACCCCCAGGGCCGTCACTGCCCCGGTTTTCCCCATGCCCGTCTCTGAGAGATGAACCCCAGAAAAATAACACGGGGTGATGCAAAAGCTCTCCAGTTCTGAGCAGAAAGACACCATCTTGCCAAATCCTCTTGAAAAGGCGAGGAGTGGGAGCCACCTTACAGAGAGAGGGTCAGACAATTCGTCCATCGAGTCCAATTTTGTGGACTCTGACTGGCAGCGGCTTTCCAGCCTCTGAGGCAGGCAGCCGTCTTTTCCCATCCACCCCTTTGCTTTTGAGGGCCGCAGAGCGAGGGCCGTGCCAGGAAGGAAGGCTTCTTGCTCGAAGCCAGAGTGAGACCAACCTCAAGGCCTCAGCTGGCGGGGAGGTTTCAGAGAAAGCAATTCCAAAGCAGACTTGCCCGACCGCCCCCCAGTGTGCTGGACTACAACTCCCATCGTCCCCAGTCAGCAGGATTGGCCGTGCTGGTTGCGGATCACGGCAGTTGCTGTCTAACACCCCTGGGGTCAGGGAAGTCCTCTCGGAAGCATCATTCCCGCTTCAGCCGGGAGTCGCAGCCGGCAGATTCCTGCAACACGCTTAACCTCAAGCCCACGCAGAAGCGCTTGCCACCTGCCACAGTGATGGAGTCAGAGAGTCAGAAGGGCTCCCAAAAGGCAGCTGGCCTGTGCAGCAGCAGCAGCAGCATGATCATATCATCATCATCATTTTAAGGCAGCCTTTGAGATGGCCTGCATGGTCCACAGGGCCCCAGCAGCAGAACTCTATCAAGGAGGTAGGGTAGAAGGTAGGAGAAGAGGCCCTTCTGGACAACAGGAGTAAACATGAGCCAACAGGAGTAATTGTGGACAACAGGCTAAACATGAGCCAACAATGCGATGCAGCTGCCAAAAGGGCAAATGCTATTTTGAGATGCATTAACAGAAGCATTGCTTCCAAATCACAAGAAGTAGTCGTTCCTCTATACTCCTCACTAGTCAGGCCTCACCTGGAATATTGTGCCCAGTTCTGGGCACCAAGATTTAAGAAAGAGGTAGAAAAATTAGAAAGGGTCCAGCAGAGGGCAACAAAAAGGATCCAGGGGTTGGAAGCACTGCCCTGTGAGGAGGGACTGAGGGAACTTGGCATGTCCAGCCTTGAGAGGAGAAGAATGAGGGGGGACATGATCTCTCTCTAGAAGTCCCTCCAAGGCTGTCACAAAGAGGAAGGCCAAGATCTCTCCTTGCTGATGCTGGAGTGCAGGACACGGAATAATCAATTAAAGCTGCAACAACCCAGATTCAGGCTGGACATCAGGAAAACCCTCCTCACTGTCAGAGCAATACGGCAGTGGGACCAGCTGCCCGGAGAGGTGGGGGGCTCTCCCACACTGGAGACATTCAGGGCGAAACTGGGCAGCCACCTGAGTGGGATGGTGTGACTTGGTGCCCTGCACCAGCAGGGGGTTGGACTAGATGGCCTTCATGGCCCCCTCCAACTCTACTACTCCATGATTCTATAACGTGTAAGGTCCCTTCCGACTCCTGCCTGCAGGAGTGAAAGCCTAACCTTTCCTACCACTGGCTGATACACCAGGAGGACGAAAATACATCGGCCAGACTGAGAGGACTCACTGGTCTGAGATGGATGCAAGGCAGCACAAATGAATGCAAGGTTTATCCAAGGGTAGGACCGGATTCTAGACCTTCCTGGGAAGCTGCCTGGCCCGGCCTTCCCGCGCTCGGTTCGCCAGCCAGCTGCCAATGCCCAGCAGCCACCCAGGGCCTGGAAAGCACCCCTTTGGGGTTTCTGCCTCTGCAGCCCAGAGGAGAATGGGCCAGGAGCGGCCACGCAGTACCCACCAGCCAGGGAAGTGAGGAAAAATGAGAGGGCACGGGAACCGCGGGAGTCTGGGCAGGCAGCGGTGGTGAATGTGCTCGCTCAGCGCCCAGCGCTTTGCTTCACCAGGGCAGAAGGCCACGCTATATTCCGTGAGGTGTGTTAGGAAAACTGCTGGATCAAAAGCCGGGTAACGGTGCAAGAAGGATGCCCTTTTCCTTACCGCCATCCTAAAAGGAAGAACAGCACCGCCCGCCAGGTATTCCCACAGCGCGGCCGAACCCGTTGCACGTTAATCCCAGCTCCGCTGAACAGCCCCACGTTAACGGCTCAGGTTCGGCCCCTTCCCAGACGAAGCCCCATGCCGCCCCATGCGACCTCCGCGAGCCGTCTCCCGTCAGAGCAGCCTACCAACGTACCACTCCCTCTGCGAGGTCCAGGGGCTGCCAGCCCCAGCCTCCCCCCACCCCCGTTCCCGAGAATGGAGGGGGGGGTCCATGCCGACCGAAGCACGATGAAGCCAACAACACTCACAGCCGCCGGGCAAAAGGTTTGGTTCAGAGGGAACGGCCGGAGTGTCTCGGCTGGGTTTTGTTTACCGGGGTTTGTTTTCTCAAGCTGGTACCATCGGTAAAAGGCCCGTTTCTTTTGCTCGCTCAAATCCGATCCCTGTTGCAACAGCCAGTGGGAGATCCGGCTCTGACTGATACCTGCAGGTGAAAAAGAAAGCAGGGAAGAAGAAACGGCTGCATTTCCCCTCTGCGGCCCCATCCTGGCCGTGTGGTTGTGGTTGTGGTTGTCGTTGTGGTTAGGGTTAGGGTTAGGGTTGTGGTTAGGGTTAGGGTTAGGGTCCAGCAGCACCTGAACAGAGAAACTTAAAACGACCTGCATGCAATCCGAAGGCCACTGTGGAATCAAACCCCTTGAAAAGATCAACTTTTGTCTATGGAAAAAGAGCCCGACAAGCTTTTAGCCTAAGAATGTGGCTGAGCATCTCTGGCAACAGATGAAAGAGGGCGGAGGCTTAGCATTGGTGGTCATGAGGCAGCCAGAAGGAAGGACGGTCCCTTCCCAGCACCCCAGAGCAAAACCTAGGCATGCTGAGAGCAACCGTGACTCCCAGGGGTTCCTTTGCCTGGCAAACATGAAAGGTCTTTTTCCGGTGTTCCTCCCAGACTACGGAATGCGCCTCCTTTCAGGATTAGTCTGCCGTGCCCGGGCTCAGCATCACAGCACCTGCCTTGAATGCGGAAGGCCCAAGATTCAGCCCTGTCCTCCCCAATTTTTCAAAAAGGCCACAGACAGCTTCTGCCAGTCAGAGCATGCAACACTGGCTCAATGGACCGGTAGTTTTATCTCGTATACAGCAGGGGAGGGTTACTCTGGGCCAGGGGTTGAATCTGCCCAACTTGAGTTCCCAACAGGACCCAAGCCCCCTTCCCCTGGACTTCCCCACAATCACAGACCAGTTTGTGCTTTCTGGGCTTTTATGTGGCCTCTTCCCCATTCCAAAAGGTTAAAATACTTCTGCAAAGGTATTGGAGAGCACTGAATAAGAGCTTTGAGTAGTAAGAGCTCTAAGCTCCAACAAGGTGGGCCCCTTTTTAAAAACTGAGGCATGCCCCCCTTTTTTTTCAACCTCACCCATCAAACTGAACTTGGCCCCCAGGCTAAGAGGGCCCCTCCCTCTTTGATCAAGGCAGCCATGTTGGCAGGGCAAAGGGCAGATCTTGGGACTTCCACTCCCAGAATTCTTAGCTATTTGCTATGCTGGCAGGGATTTGAGGAGAGCGACCAAGAAACGGGATAGTCCTCTGAGTGGGATGGCAGAACTTGGTGACCTGCAACAGCAGAGGGTTGGACTCGATGGCCTCAGACCCTTCCGGCTCTACCTTCCCGTGATGCTTTCTGCAAATCCCTGGATTACAACTCTACCTGTAGCATTGCACCATGGACTTTTCAAGAAAAAGCTGGAGGGTGCTCGTTACAAAGGGTGGGGTACAGTGGTGGGGGTACTTTTTCCCGGTCGCTCAGCTTCGGCGGCGTTGGGCCAGAATAGGCTTGCCACCTTTCATAAATATGCCACCCATTTTTAATACAAAAGGCCCTGTGCTCTCCCGCCGAAGAGACCTAATTTTCAGATGACATTATGGTGATTAATTGCTCCGGCCGCCTGCAAAGATAGACGGGTGAAGGCGGGGGGAGGCAGACAGCAAGACAGTGGCTCATAGGACATTAAGAACACGTCCACCAGGAAATGGAATGACTCACTCAGCCACTCCTTTCGTGCTGTGCAGAACGATCCGGCCATGCATGCGCATTGCCCAGAAGTAAACTGCAGCCAGTCCCTGTTCTGGCTGGATCGGACAAGCCGCCCAGGAGAGCAACGGAAGAGCTGAGCATTTCTCTGAGAAAACCTGAAGTCCCTCCATCCTTATTACAAGACGGAGGGACTGTTTTCCTAGATGCTGAATGCATGATGCGGGAGCGCAACTTCCCTACGCAACCCTTTTTGCCTGGGGACTGTTTTGGGGTGCCGATGAGGGTGGGCCGGAAAAGACCCTTCTTGCATTGCGATCACCCGCCTCCCCGGAGCCCCATCTGTTCTCACCGTGTTATTCTGCAATCTCACCTCTAGAGGGAGTTAGCATTAAAGAAGGGCTAACTGTGGGGGGGGGGGGATCTTGGTCACACCCCTCATTTGCCAGATCTGTATGTTATTAATAGCAGCCCAAGTATCATTGTCTTCTTTATCTTATGACAGAAACCTTCAAAGACAGTTTCTATAAATAATTTTTTAAAACCCACACAGCCTCCGCATTATCAGTTGCTGCTCTTGGTAGGACTTCATTATAATAAATTTAGGCACTTTAATAAGAAGAACGCTGCTATTAATATCAGTTAACGGCATCTCTCTCCACCCTTTAGCTTTTCTGTTGTACTGGGCTACACGGCATCCTTTCGGAGAGGCTGGTCCTCTTTTTCCACATTAGATTTTTTTGCCCATTTTTTAAAAGTCCTGCTAGGGTTTCCCCCATGCAACCGGGGTCGAGGGAGTTCTGTTGGGCCAGCCATAAATGCAGCCAGGCCTGGAAGGCCTGGTTGGGGATGATGGGAGCTGTAGCCTGACACACCTGGAAGGCAGGTTAGGAAAGGCTACCTGAGGTGGTCTCGTGTCATCTCGGTGCCGCATGCTGCCCTGAAATCTGCTCTCGTGGAGGTTTTAAGTAAGCTGACGTAATTATTGGTCCTGCAATTATTACTGGATTTATTGGTTTGATTAAATCGACATAAAAGCGTTTGCGTAATGAAAAATGTGTCTCCAATTAATCAAACGGCAAGTTTTTTAAATAAATGGAAATCTTCATGGCAGGTATTGCCACGGAAGAAGTATTCTCCTCCCTCCTCCTCTCTTCCAAATAGGAATGCCTCTTGGGAAGAGGCATTCTTTTTGGAGAAGCAAAAGGAAGGATGCTTCTCCCCACCCCTTCAGCTCCACTGCCTTAATCATACTGAAATGTCTGCACCCCAAAACCCTCTCATTTAACTAAGGGCGCCTTCCCATACCTATCAGACCAAAACAACGGCTACAAGTCCCAGCCATGCTAGGACCAAAGGAAGGGAGGCCGTGCTTCCCAGGTCAAAGAAGTCGGCTGTGCGTGTGGTGTAGGCACGCTCATTTCAAGCACACCGTCGAAAGCATGGCTTTCCAAATCTGTCCGCCAGGCAGTGTCTGCAGACCAGCTGTTTCTTGATCCTGTTCCAGGATCCTGATCCTGATCCTGAAACATGATCCTGTTTCTCGAGGGCTCTTCCACCTCTGTGCAACTTCCTTCGTTAAGGGATCCCTCGCACGTCCATTCCTGCTGGGTCCTGCCACTCATCCACTGATGTCTTTTGTGGTTTTATTATGTTTTTATGTTCTTCTGAATATTTTGGTTCTTATTATTTTGGCTGCAATTCCATGCACTACCTCAGAAGTTGATGCACAAGTCCTGTATAGAAAGTAGTAGATTTGCTATTTTGCCAGGTATGAGGTATAAATTATTATTATGCTAGGTATGAGGTATAAATTATGGGGTATGAGTTTAGTTTCTATGGCATTTATATTCCCTATTTGATGGTATTCACCCTCACATCCTGAACTATTTTTAACAAGCTCTCGAAAACGGAAATGGAAGCAAAACACATACAAAGCTATGAAGCAGAACAGGTTTCCTCCCACTGTTTAGATGGGGATTTGACTGGCTAAAGTTTCACACTGGAGCTGGGGAGACCTGGTTTGCAGTCCCCGCTTGGACATGAAGCTCTCTGGCAGACTTAGGGCCAGTCCCCGACTCTAAACCTAACTACCTTGCAGGGTTGTTGTTGTGAGGATAAAATGGAGGAGGAGAATAATGCGCTTCTTACAAGAGGGAAAAAGGCAGGATATAAGTGTAATGATGGCATTTATATAGCTTTTTTTCCCCAAACAAATGGGACATAACCACTAATTTTATGTATGTTTATCCTGCTCTTCAGCCGGAGGACTGTGCACTCACTTACAGAGAAGAGTGTGAAACAGACAGTCCCTGCTTGCAGGTTTATATTCTAGAAAGACATGGCAGAAGAGGAAGAAGGGTTGGGAGAGAAGAAGGAAAAACAAGAACAAGGGGCCTTTTGGAAGGGCTGGTGGGCAGGCCCTGCTTCCTCGCTCTTCTGTCTTATGCCTGCGTGCAGTGAACCGGGCACCCGAGTGCATCGCCCGGGAGGACCTTTCCCAGGGCCAATGGGCTCACAGAGAAGGTGGCATGCGATCCACGTTTCTGGGGCTGAAACCCACCGCAGTCCTCCAAACCCGCAGGCGCCCAACCTATGGAATTCACTCCCCAAAGAGGTCCGCCTGGCACCGTCGTTACTGGTTTTTCGGCGCCAGGTAAAGACCTTTTTATTTAAACATCATTTAAATTTTAAAACATATGATCTGGCCAGGGCAACTTCTTCTTCCTTCTCTTTTCTCCTCCTATATTCTTTATTTACTTATTTTATACTGATAATTTTAATTTTATATTATTATGTTTGTAACTCAGTGTATTTTTTGTATTTAATGGTAATTTATTATGTTCTATTGTATTTCAATGTATTTTATTGTGTTGTAAGCCGCCCTTATTATAATATTATTATTATAATATTATTATTATAATATTATAATAACAACAACAACAACAACCTGCCTGGCTTCCGTCCACAGGATCCCACCATGGGGACCTACGTGCGCCACCTTCAGGAAGGGTGCAGAAAGGAGCAGGGAAGGAGAGCGTCCCGCAAGAAGCTCTCTCCCAAAGCTCAGCAGAATGCAAGCGCTCTCAGTGGCCACCTATAGCGAGAGAGGCCAGTGGTTGCTCCAGCTCAGGATGGCCGCTCTGGCTGGCAGTCCTCCTGCTTCTCTGGCCCTTCTGCCTCCAAAGGATGTGCTCCCGTTACGCAGATCTTGGCCCCCCTGCTGGATTTACTTGCCCAAACGGGCAGAGGTGATTAAAACAAAGCGTTTTGCAAACGGGCGCTGCTCGATCGAAGGACGGTATCATTTACGAGGAGGATCCAAGCGAAAAGGTTGCGTAGGCAGCGTTCCTGGTTGCGGCTCCAGCCAGCCAGGTCTTTCTCCTGGACCCCCCATCCGCCCACCCTCTGCCTTCTCCGTAGCCTGTGCCACAACTGCCGGGCTGCACTCCGTTCCCCCGGGCACCCTTGGCCCTCGTGCGGCTTGAGCAGGAAGGACTCCTACGGCTCTTCCGCACTCTTGCGTGCCTTGGTGTCCCCCTCACTGCCGCGGGCTCCCAAGCCTGGCGAGCCTTCCCTCCTCTGATGGAGGCGGTTGCTTTCACGACAGAGCGGCCCACACTTGCGCACACGGAGTTCTGGAGGAACCCACCACAGCCCTTGAAGGAAGGAACCGAAGCAAACGGAAATGCCAACCTGGAGCACTTAATGAGACAAAGGGGGGGGGCGGGGGGGTCACCCACCCTGGCTCAAATAAACAAAACGGCATAATTAAACGCCCATTCCAGCCAAGTCCCGGAAAACCCCCTCACCTCCCTGCAGGTGCCTCGCCCTGTGCTCTCGTAAGGTCAGGCCAGTTTTCGGCAACCTGGTGCCTTTCAGATGGGTTGGACTACAGCTCCCATCACCCCAGCTGGCCTGGCATCGCTGCTGGGAGATGTAGTCCCACACATCCAGATGGCAACGGGCTGGGAAGGCTGCCATCTGCGACGTTCACCACGTGCGACTTTAAATTTCGCAGCGAGCTCTTTCAGCTTTTGCCAAGGCACTTGAGGCTGCTTACAATGTAGGCACAGACGCACCGTCCCTCCTCACACGAGCGCCGTAGGTAGAAAAATAAAAAGATCAAGCAGGCCAAGGCGGAGGCGGAGGGTGAGGGGAGGAAGAGACACCGATTCACTGGGGAAGTTTCGTGACGTGTGATACAAAGGCTCTTAAATCAAAGACATGCATTATCATGACTGGGCTGACAGATCTGCACTGCAATGCAGAAGCCGTGTGATATCCCAACAGCTGCACCGACAGGCGAAGTTGGCGGGCGAGACAGCAGAGCAGCGGGGCCTCTGCCCGGGAAAAGGGACAGGGTCCTCGGAGTTCTTACCTGTTACCTGCGCAACAACAGCTTGCGAAATCCTCCGGTTGGCCAGGAAGCCTTTGATTTCCTCTTTTATCACGCTGCTGTCCCTCCTACCAAAATGGGGATGGAGAGAGAAAGATAAAGGAGGGAGGCGAACGACAGGACCAGAGTGGAACCTGAAGATGCATTTATGGGGATGGGAGGTGGGGGGGTAGAGACATCTTTCTTGCCAGCGGACATTTCTTTTAATCAGTGTCATCGGCTGATCAAAGTGTACAAGGAGGAGAACGGATGACTCACGGCCTGTATAAATTCATGCAAGCCATATGGAATGCACAAAGTTTCATTACAGAAGAATGAATAAATCTCTCCCACCAGAATCTTAAAAAAGGGACAGCGGCAGCAGAAGCTTGGGCCATAAAACAAGGCTCTTACACGTCGGAATGCTGTGCAAAGGCACGTCAGTGCAAAAGCCACCTTCTCGCACCACAGGTGTAAGAACAGGAAGAACCACGGTGTTCCTACAGGCCGCTGCTATGCCCATGCAGTCTGGCGGGGTGGCCAAGCCATGGCTTAGCAGCAAACTCGTAGGCTGGCCCAGCCAACACCTAGTCTGTTCGGAAGCAGGAAATTGCCTTATATACAGTCAGATCATGGGTCCAACTATGACAGCATTGGCCATGTTCACACATAACAGTAAGCCATCTTTTAAACATGGTTTGTTATTTTAGCCATGAATCGGCTTGAAGACAAAACAACAAACCTCATCCCTAATTTAAGAGGCACTTCATTCCAGCGAACCTGGGGGGGGGGGGAGTTTGCAGATGACCCTGAGGTGAAAGGGGTGTTGCGAGGAGTACACAGAGAGGAGCGCCAAAGAAACTCTTTTTGAATAAGTCTGTTTGGCAGGAAGCAATTGACGCATTATTCTGCTGCGAGACTTTCGTAAGAAAGAACCTTTAACTTAGTGGTGCAGAACCCTCCCCCCTCCAAATTCTGCTTGGCAGAAGGTCTTGGAGACTCCCCAAATCAATTCCAAAATGAACCAAAACAACTCCAGATGCCACCCAGACTTCGCTTAAAGCTCTTACTGCCAGTAACTCTTAAGAGAGGCAGCCCTACCTTTGAGAACGGGAGAAAAGTGGCACAAGTGCCGGGAAGCCACAAAAGGATCCGTGGCTGGGGGAGAGCAGGTGGGGACAGGAAAAAGGAATGCCCCCCACCCGAGAATTGTAGAGGACTAGAGTGAGACCCAACCCCCAGAGGGTCAGATTCAGCTCCCAGGCCAAAACAGAAGCAGGAGGAAGGGGTGCTGAGCATTGTAGGTAAGAAAAGCCCCATCCAAGAAGGTGAGGCCTGCTTGAAGCGGGGCAGCCCCAAGATAACGGTGGCGTTTTGGAAGGAAAAACCAGAATAAAAACAGGCCTTTTCCCTAAATATAGAAATACGATCCCATGGATCATTTATGCTGGTTACAGATGTATATTCCAGGGTGGAAAGTGTTTTGCTTGAACACAGAATTTCAAGTCTGTGTTTCTGCGGACCATACCCAGGGTCAGCCTCCACCTTCGACTCACAGTCTTGACCCAAGCCATCTTTTGACGCCGGCTTGGAGACTAGCTCAGGCAGCTTGCCAGGTTGTGTTGAGAGAGTATTCTTTGAAAACAAAGAGAGCAGGGCAGGCAGAAGAGAGCAGGGCAGAGCGAGTCAGAAGGGGCCTCCCGAGCCATCTAGTCTGACCCCTGGCTCCAGCCGGCTCTGCTCATGACACGCCCACCATGTGCATCTCCAGTCTATCCTTGATCACCCTCACCGATGGGGCCTCAACCACCTCCCTGGAAGCCCATTCCACACCCTGGGCGTCTTAACTGTCAGGAAGTACTTCCTGGCATCCAAATTGAACCCTTGTTCCCTGAGCTTTGCTCTGTTGGAGCGTGTCCTGCCTTCCTCTGCAGGGGAGAACAGGTCTCTACCCACCTCCGTGTGACACCCCCTCACATACCTGTATGTTGCCAACAGATCCCCTCTGAGTCTCCTCTTCCCCAGGCTGAAGAGACCCAGTTCCCTCCGTCTCGCCTCATACGGCTTCCCCTGCAAACCGGCCACCATCCTTGTGGCCCTACGCTGCACTGACTCCAACCTGGCTCTACCCTTCCTGTAACAAGGGGCCCAAAACTGAACACAAGTCTTGAACCAGCTTGGCTTTGAGGCAGCTTATGGTGGTGGTCTTCCACCTGAGAAGAAGGGAACGGAAGCCCACCTAGTGAATCTGTCCCTTGGACATGTCAGGGCTGGGGGAAGGGGCTTTTCGGAAGAAGGAGAGGCTCCGCATGCGCACGTGAACCTCGCTCACCTCATCAGCTCCTCCACTTTGTCGTCCACGTCCAAGTCCTCCTCGGAGGCTTCGAAGCTGTACGACCGCTGGGCCATGCTGTTGGCCAACGGGTAACGGGTGGGCGACATCTTCCCGTTGAAGGCGGACAACCGCTCGTTGGTCTCCCGCCCATTCTGATTGGTAGTGCAAGGCTGTGGGGAGGTGTCGTAACTATTGCTTGGGGAGGGGGACATCCCAGAATGCTGGGTCTGTGTGGAAGCTGTGGCAGTGGAGGAAGACGCCGGGACATTGTTGGTGGTGCTGTTGCTGCAGGTGCCGCCACCGCCCCCGTAGGTGGACCGACGGCCGAACTTGTCGCTGTGCTCCTGGTCAAGGCGGTCGAAGGTTTCCAAGGCATGGAGGATCTCGTGCCGCGTCATTCCAGTGCGCCGCAGGCGCTGAAGCAGGTCGATCTGCTCTATGGTGAATCTGGGTTCGTCGGTGTAGTGAAACATGGTTTCCAGCAGACTGCACGGGGGAAAGAGCAGGGAGAGAGATGAAGACGAGAGACAAGGTACCTGCCTCACCCCGGTATGTTCACGGCTTACTGCCGGGACGCTCTGATGGGGGGTGGAGCATCCGAGGAGCCACACGTCCAGCTGGAACCCATCAAGGTCACTCGTTTGACCTTCCAGCTTCAGAAGCACGTGCCCAGGCGGCTTGCAGGAAAGGGTGCAGCACCCCATTTTGAGGCACATGCCCACAACATTCTGTCTGTCTGTCTGTCTATTAAAAGCTATTCTATCCCGTCCCCTACAGAACGTCTCGGGACGGCTTACAATAAATAAGTAAAATAAAACAAACCCCACAGCATCTGACCATTAATGTACTAAAACCCCAATTAAAACCAATTAAACATTAAAATAACAGGAAAATAAAAGGGTTTGACAGCATGACCGTCTCCAATGCCACGTTCCACAAGGAGAGTCCAAAGACACAGGCAGCTGAGCCAGCCCCTCTCGGCAAAGGAGTCCCACCCATTCCCATCTCTACCAGGTGCAGGTCTTGGGTCGAATGGATGGGTCTGCACTGCCCATTCAAGCCCAAGCCACCCATCAATATTGGGCATTAAACCAGAGAGTGATAAACTCTTGCTGGGGGAATTCAGTCCCCTGCCACCCGTCCAGCTCCCGTGAGGAACGCAGCTAAGCTCAGAGAGAACGGGGAATTCTGAGAGGAGTCTTTGCTAATAACATCCCTACGAGCCCCACCTCCGCTCCACCACGGCAGGAGAAACATAGAAACAGAGCGAGTCAGAAGGGGTCTCGTGGGCCATCTAGTCTGACCCCCGGCTCCAGCCGAGAAGCGTGGGGGTGAGTCAAAATCAGGATTTGCCTTATTTTATTATTCTGCTTTTAACCCATCGAGTATGCCGCGTTCTTTGTAGAACGCTCCCTGGATTCCAGCAAAGATCACTGCAGCTGCAACTTTTAAGGCTCCTAGGAGATGTGTAGACAGAGTCCGCCCAGTTTGGAAGGCAGGACAAGGTATGTGAGACGGGCAAGAGGAGCCAGAACTCAGAAGCAGCTCCCACCTTGCATTCAGAAGCCCAATTCCCTGAATCTCCTGCAGAAAACAGAAACGCCCAGATCTGGCTCCCCCTCATACAGCTCTTCGAATGATCACACTTAGAATACTGTGTTTGGTTCTGGTGGCCTTTCCTGAAAAAGGACATAACTGGGCTGGAAAAGTCCAGAGAAGGGCAACCAAAATGATTTTAGGGGTTTGGAACAGCTCCGCCATGCAGCTTCGGCAAGGGGCGGCATAGAAATGTTTTAATAAATAAATAATTGGGACTGTTAGAAAAAAGGTGAGTAAGGGGAGATATGATAGAGGTGTTTAAAAGTATGTGTGGTGTGGAGAAGGGGAAATGGAGAGATCTTTTTTCCATCTCCCATAACAATGGGACCCAAAGGGGTCATCCCATGAAGCCGATGGGTGGGAGGTTTCAGACAGATCAAAGGAAGGCCTTCTTCACACAACGAATAGTTAAACTATGGAATATGCAGCCATGAGAAGGGGTGACGGCCACCCATCTGGATGGGTTTCAAGGGGGGCCGAACAGATTCATGGGAGAGAAGGCGACCCGTGGCTACTAGCCTTGCTGGCTATGGGCTGCCTCCTTGGCCAGAGTGGGCATGCCTGAAGAGCTTGGGCAGGCAGAGGTCTTGCCCGATTCTGCTTGAGTGATGCTGCGGGCAGCTTGTTTGCTCCCGTGTGTACCAAGCACCAGACGATGATCCGAAAATAAAAAAGGACAGGTACCGGAAGTGGAAGGTAGGCCAGGCTACAAAGGAGGAAAACAGGCAGGAAGCGAAACACAGGCAGGAAGCCAATTTCTACTTTGGCTCCGTCTTCTTCCAGAAGGAGAGCTATGACCTTCCTGATGAAGGAGAACCCAAGGAGCAGGATGGCAGCTCAAGAGCAATAAGCAAATGCCCAAGGATCATCTACTTCGATTGAACGAGCCTTATGAACTCCGCAACAGAGTCATAAAGAAGCTGGTGGAGTTGGCAGAAGAACCCTCAGGACCACTATTATCTTTCAGAAATCACGGAGGACGGGGAAGTGCCAGGTGACCAGAGAAGGGTTAATGTTATCCCTATCTTCAAGAAAGGAAGAACTACAGACCAGTCAGTCTGACATCAGTGCGTGGAAAATTCTGGAGCAGATACAACAATGCCATAATTACGAGACGCCCACATGGATTCCTCAAGAACAAATCTTGCTGGACTAATCTGAGTTCAGTTTTTGATTGGGTAGCCTCCCTGGTGGACTATGGGAATGCTGGGACAGAATCGATCTTGACTTCCACAAAGTGTTGAACAAAGTGCCCCGTGATATCCTGATTAGCAAACTAGCCAAAAGTGGGCTCGATGGACCAACAATCGGGTGGATCGACAGAATAAGACTCGTAGAGTGCTGATCAACGGCACTTTCTCAGTGGGGGAGAGGAAACAAGCGGGGAACTGGAGGGCTGAGTCCTGGATCCAGTGCTCTTCAACACTTTTGCTAACAGTTTTCCGGATGAGGAAGTGCAGGGGATGATTATGTGGGAAAATTATGCAGGATGTGCTGATGACGCAAAACTGGATGGGGTAGCTCATACCCTAGCAGACGGAAAGAAGTTTCAAGGTGATCTTAATAGGTTGGGACACTGGGCTGAAAACAACAGCATGAAATTTAACAGAAACGAATGCCAAGTTATGTACCTAGGAAAAAGAAACCAAATGCATCAGTTCAAGATGGGGAATACTTGACTCAACGATACTGCAAAAGAGAAGGATCTTGGAATTGTTGTAGGCAAATACGAGCCAACAGTGGGATGCAGCTGCAAAAAGGGCAAATGCTATTTTAGGCGCCATTAACAGAAGCATCACTTCATAATCACATGGAGTCCTAGTTCCCCGTTATTCAGCACTGGCGGGGCCTCCCCTAGAGTACTGCATCCAGTTGAGGGCACCCCAGTTGAAGAAAGACTCAGATTGGAAGAACTGTTTAGCCTTGAAAAGAGAAAAGTGAGGGGGAATAGGAGAGCAAGTATTGGAAAGGCTGCCATAAAGAGGAAGGCCAGGCTCTCTCCACAATCATCTCAGAGTGCAGGGCTTGGAATAATGGGCTCAAGTTGCAGGAAGCCAGGTTCTGGCTGGACATCAAGAACTTCCTGACTGTCAGAGCAGTATGACCATGGAACCAATTACCTAGAGACAACCAATTACCTAGGAACAATTGCCAATTACCCACACTAGAGGCATCCAAGATGCAGCTGGACAACCATCTCAGAGGGATGGTTGAACGTGGAGTCCTGCAACAGCAGGGAGTGGGGCCTGATGGCCTGATGTGATTCTGTGACTAGATGGATCATCGAACAGATCCAGCATGGCTGTTCTTACGCTCTCCAGGTAGGGTCAGAAAACTCCCGCCTGAGACTTTGGAGAGCTTTTGCTGATCAGTGTTGAAACTGCAGGACTAAACAGGTTCCTAAACCTCCAGGTTCATTATCCCAGCATGAAGCAATCTTTATCAGAGAGATGTACAGGTTGCCAGGCAGGCAAGCCTATACCTTGATCCAGACTTCCAGTCACAGACTCTCAGCCCAACCTACCTCACAGGGTTGTTGTTGTGGGGATAAGATGGAGGAGGAGAATGATGTAAGCTGCCTTGAGTCCTTTTGCAGGAAAAAGGCAGGATATAAATTGCAATATATATAAAAAAAAAAAAAATCCCACTGGAGTTCCCAGAACATCTTCTCAGCGGGTATAGAAACATCCAGCCATGCTTTCTGACAACCTCGTATTTTTAGAACTCGGACTCTCCAAATATGCATTATTATTATTTTTTTTAATGTAAGGTGCAATCTGATGCACATTTAGATGGAAAAAAGGCCTGCCGCTTCCTGTAAGCCCCAGCCAACATGGCTGACTGGAACGCTGGTAAGCATTTTATCTGTTCAAGCGTGTCTCAAGAGGGCACCTGTAGAGGTTCTCTTCAGCATCTTCCCTTTCCTGCTTTGTGGAGCGCTAGTGTGTGCTGCCTGCACGGGCCCCAGGCTCAATCCCAGGACACTCCCGGTAGGGACAGGAAAGACCTTCCTCATTCTCAGAGCACTACGAGAGTGGGACCAGTTGCCAAGAGAACTCGCAGAACTGGAGGGTCATCTGAGTGGGACGGTGTGACTTGGTGTCCTGGACCAGCATGGGCTTGGACCGGGTGGGCTTCCTGGCTCCTTCTGACCCTCCTATCTATGCATCTGTGAATACTGGTGAGCCAGTACCAATCACAGCACAGACTCAGCTAGAGGGGCCAGTGCCATGCGCTGTGTCTGGGGCTGCGCTTGAGAGCATTCGGGAGCTTCGCCTCATGCAAGGCACGGCAAATCACCCGGATGCAAGATGAGCCTCGCGGGGCACCTCTTCGTCAACGGGCCACTGCACTTCCCGTTAAAGTCCTAATTGGTCCTGGCCCAAATGACCTCACAAAGCCTCTCTCCGGAGCAGGGTCCCCTTGTTGGAAGGTGTTCTTCCACATCCCGGGGCCACACGCCCACGGCTCCCAACCAGCACGGTCACTGGTCTGCATCCAGATGTGTTACGGTCCAGCACATGGAAGAGTCCCAGCCTGCAGGAGGGTACTTCAAGGTAACCGACGGGAGCTTCCAGTCTAGCTTATGCCTCATCAGCACCAGCATCCTTACTAAATGTCTAAGGTGACTTTTTTAGAAAAGGGTTCAAAACCTCCCTGTCTTGGTTTTCAAATGATCCCGTTTTCAATGCGTTCAAAGAAGGCATGTTCAACCCGCTTGCTGATCAGTTCATCAGCAAAAGCTCACAGCATCCCTTTCAGTACACCAAAGAGGTGGGCTAAGAAAACTCAGTGGACCAAGAGGTCAGGCGAGAGACCGTGCTAGAGCAATTTGCATTCCAGTGGGATCTGCCGTTCAACCACATCTGACTGGAGGTTATAGGAGC